CCCTTTGCTTATTCGAGCTGCTGTCCGCAATAGACTTACCTCCATGTGGTGCACCCTGGGAAACGTATACTCATACGGCGAAAAAGTCTATTACCTGGCAGTTGATTTCTGACTTCAAACTTCTATGGCCCGACTATTTGTCATATTCGACCCCTTCCACAGTACTCATCTTACCTATTTTATGCCTTTGTGTCTGTCTGTCTGTCTCTTTTACATCTGTGAATCACTCTTCTGTTCCCCCTCTCGACTTTTTACCACTTTGATGTACCTTCTCCTCTCAGTAAAGCCCCGAAGTCAGCTCCAGGGCTAATGATAACTATCAAAACGCCTGCCATTTGATATAAATAAATAAATACATTGCTTTAACAGGCACTTAGTGTTGTGCATGTGACATTAATTGAAATTATTTGTTTTTAGGGCAAGCAAACTAATCAAATTTGGTCTCAAAGCGGTTAATTTTAAATCCAGAGGGCACTAAATCAATACACTTCCCACACTCTCTCTCCCCCTCCCCCCTCATTTGTAATATTAATTTGACCTCAAACTAAAAGCAGTTTGCGCTCAAATGACTGGTTGTCAAACTTCAAAGGTTTCGATTGATTTCGCGCGTGAGAAATAGCTGGGTTTTGATATAACATAGACGGGCATAACACTCATATACAGCCTCAACTGGAATTCAAAAAGCAAAAAAAATTTTCAAAGATAAAGCAAGGAGTTGCGTTGTTCTTCTCCTCTGTCAAAATGAGCGTTTTCTGTTAAATCGATTTGTAGTAGCCAGGAGCAATATATCCACATACACACACACAAGCGCACATTTCGAAACAACTTTTCCTACCTCTGCAACTGGTTTTCCAATTTATTGACGTGGGGAAAACACGATGTCCAAAGAGAGCGGCTACGACACACTGGGCAACGGCTACGCTGCCTCTATGTCAGCTGTGTTACTGACAGAGGCTGAGTCAGGCGGGAGTAATACACGTTCCTCATTCCCAAGCACACCCCATCAATCATAGTTTCCCCTCCAACCTCCCCACCTCCCCCCACACCCAGCGGGAACTTGTCCCTAAACCGTGGGATCGAGGGGGGAGGGGGTGGAGGGGGGGTGGAAATAAATAGGGACTCCCTGGAGTATTTGAGAGTGAGTGAGAGAGAGAGAGAGAGTGAAGCCTTTAAGCCGGCCAAAGCTGTTGGATGAGGCATGCCAATTCTGGACAATTGCCGTGTTTATTCAGGTACTCCTACAATCCTCCTGGTTTCCAGCATACATTGCGTGGGCGTTTTGGAAGGGACAGATTGCACAGATGGACAGTAGGATTAAATTTCAACCACCGGGCTCACTTTCTCTCCCACACCTCCTGTTAGGGCTTGGCATTCGATAGGTCACTTTGTCATTAGAGTGGAGAAAATGGGAATTTTGATTGGATTATTTAAAACACACACCAATATGAATGCTTAGTTAATTTTACGAATCCCAATAAATTGGCTGTCTATATTCAAGAATTTTTTATTCAAAAATACTTTTTTTATAAGGGGTACGCAATAGACTTACCTCCACATGGTACACCCTGGGCAACGTATACTTACACGGCAAAAAAGTCTATTGATCCGCAGTTGACTTCTCACTTCAAACTACCATCACCCCACTGTATGTCATATTCGATCCCTTCTACAGTACTCATCTTACCTTTTTTATGCCTTTGTGTCTGTCTGTCTGTCTCTTTTACCTCTGTGAATCATTATTCTGTCCCCCATCTCGACTTTTTGTTACTTTGATGTCCCTTCTCCTCTTCATTAAGCCCCGAAGTCAGCTCCAGGGCTAATGATAACTATCAAAACGCCTGCCATTTGATATAAATAAATAAGTGAATAAATTAATTATTATATTGTGAAGTTCTCATTAGATGAGTCAGTCTATCTTCCAGTATACTTTGAATGATTTAAGTCCTGTGACCACTTACGTCGCTGATCGTTTATTTAACAAACATTTGATTAATTTATTTATTTATATCAAATGGGAGGCATTGTGATAGTTATTATTAGTCCTTGAGCTGACTTCGGGTCACACAGACGGGAGAAACATCAAAATGAGAAAAATTCAAGAGGGGGACAGAAGAGAGATCCACAGATGTAAAAAAAAGTCAGTCAGACACAAAGACAGAGAAAAGGAAAGCTGGGTACATATACTTGAGATATCACAGTGGCTACCAAAACCTGAATTAGTAGAAAACATGCGCTACAAATTTAGACTTAAATCTAACGATGGCTTCAATCTATTTCAGATCTGCTCACAAATGTACCACTTTCGACGAAGACACTATATTCCTCTCCAGGAAGAATCTGTCGTCGAACCAACCGCCTGCTAAATTTGATCTCTTCTTTTTACACTTCTATTCCCACATCTTATATCCTCATTTTTGATTTAACATTTTATCTTCACATGTTCACATCTGTGTAAAAGTAATCTTGTAAATATATATTACTGATTTTTCTAACATTTCCACCTTTTTGGCTCTTTATGTTCTTGTGGTGTGAAAAAGGAAGCGATGTGCTATGTGCCTACATGCGCTTTTGTGCAGCTGATGGTTTACGTTTCCAGCTATGGTTCATAATGCATTTATGCCAATAACATAAACATTTCCGTTTGACCCGATGACCATAATTGGTTGTAAGGATTTACACCCTTCTCTAAGATTTAGGTCGAAATATAAAACCCACCTCATTAACGGTGGTAAATTTACGGGGATCTGAAATTACGATCATCTGGTTCATTTTCTAATTAGATATTTGCAAGTTCAACTTCGTGTCGTTACATTTGCAGAATAAATCGAGTCGGATATCGCTATTTCGTATTGCTTTACGTTTGCAGGTCAAAAATCAATTTTGACCCACCTGAAGCAGTATTGGTTTTGATTTTTCATGTTTGCGAAGTGAATCGATTATTTTTCTACCGCAAAATGATATACCTTTGCGGTTGGGTGCTTTGGTAATTTGTCATTGACTGGAAAAACTGCGAATAAATTACTACTGAACAAATTTAGTAGTCATTAATGTTAAGTTGTGGGGTGTGCGATTAACTAAACCTCCAGGTGGTGCACCCTGGGCAACGTATACTCATACGGCAAAAAATGTCTATCACAGACAGTTGACTTCTGACTTCAAACTACCATGACCACACTGTATGTCATATTCGACCGCTTTCACAGTACTCATCTTACCATTTTCTTTACCTTTGTGTCTGTTTGCCTCTTTTACATCTGTGAATCGCTCTTCTCTTCCCCACCCATCGACTTTCTGCTACTCTGATTAACCTTCCCTCTGTGAAGCCCGAAGTCGGCTAAATGGAAAACGATAGCTATCAAAACGCCTGTCATTTGAAACAAATGATTAAATTTTAAGGTGTAAAATGGAAATATCTGTTTAGGGTTTTGAAAGTGTGCATTTACCTGAATAAAGTTGAAATTTTACTTATACGTTACGTTTCTGGAAGATTGTGAAGTTGTCACTCTCTATAGCATCTTGGTAGCAGGATGTATAAAGAGTTAGGTTTCAGTTGAACATTTTCATGGTTCATTGATCCGAAATTATTTTTGGGATTTCTTATTCATGAATAACAGTTTTAATTTTTGTTTACACACAACGATTCCAAATAACGTGGTGGTAGTTCTTTAAATCTTGAGCAAATTTAATAGCTTGAGTGGTAATGTGCTTTAAATCTTTGTGTTTCCTTTCTTTGTTAGTTTCATCCTTTATCTTTTGTGAATAGAAACCGAATGAGCTGGTCAAGAGGGGCAGATAAACGAAGCCGTGAGGCAGCAGAAAAGCAACTTGCTGAACGTTTCCTCAACGCTGATAAACGTCTCAAATCTTCTCTCCTCTCAATAATTCCAGCAACTTTATCAAATAAAGTAGTCTGCATTACCCTTATTAATGGCACGAAGGTGACTGGAACTCTCGCGGAGATTGACGGCTTTAATAATATCACCTTGAGAGATGGTGTTAGAATTGATCCACCACCTCGCAAGAAAACTCTCGTCCCATTGGTGGGTCTTGAAGTAAGTCTTGAAAAATTTAATCAAGAATTTCTACTTTAATTGTATCAGTCGACAATATTTTTCATTTTCCAGAAAGCAAGGATTATTGTGTCATATTATTGAAATTGGATGGATTAATCTTATTAAGCAAACGTAATAAAGAGGTGGAAATTTCATTTTGTTGCACAAATTGGTAAATCGGTAGTGGCATTTATCAATTGAAGATCACTAGACTTAAGCGCAACATAGGAAAAATGTGGCAGTTTACTACAGAAGCAAGTCTGGACAAATCCTCAGTAATCTCAATTACAAAGTAGACTAGTGTGGACAGGCCCCCGAAGTTAGTTAAGCTACTTTTACGAAGCAGAGGTAGCAGACGTGGAGCGTTTATTTGGGACGTGAGTCATGAACACGGAGCTTTGTCAGGAATGTACAATTTTTGGCTACTCTGACCATGTCGTGACAATTGCTTACGTTTTGGCTGCGAGATGTGTGAGCTCATGGGATCAACAGGACACTACACTTGTTGGAACGGGATCAGCAATGGGACGCCACCTATTCTAGAATGTTCTTACTTGCATGAAATTTCTTGGTTCAGCCGTGTTGGCGTTTCGTTCGCCATTTGTGCATCAAAACTTTAGTCGAAAGATGCCAATGAAACAAACAAGAATTTTATTCAATCAAATGAATTAACTGCTGCTTAGTACTTCTGCATCTATTTAATAAATTTCAGGGCGAAAGTTACAGAATTAGTGCTCAGAGAGTTCCCACCGAATTCTCTGCAACTTTCTTGCTGAACCTTGAACTTTGAAGTCAGTGTTTATTTCACTCGATATAAAGTCGCCTGAAAGATATTCTAGACTTTATCATTACCATCCACAAGAGCGTTGGGAGTAGGCTAGGAATCTTGATTGACCAATCTGAAGTGCTCGATTGCATGCGTAATGAATTAATGGAAAAGCCTAACTGTAAACTGATTGTGACATCTGATTCGCTCAGTCTCGTTAGCCATCAGCTTCACCAATTGGAATATTTATACTTCTTGATTCTTATCACCTTCTATCTTTTCATGTTCTATCTTTCAGGCTTTATACCCTTTCATGTTTACTAGCCCTTGAATGCAAGTAATGAAGATTTTCTGAAGCGCTTTAAATAAACAGATTTATTAGATTTACTTTAATATCTCTGTTGGCATAGATTCCTCACTTTACTTTAGCCAATCTCTGTACACTTGCTCCAATCTCAGCAAGCGGATTCATGAAAGAAATACGCCAAGTAGCTCTGTTGTGAACTTTGACAAGTTTCCTTAGTGTATAAGTGAAAATTATTTCTCCTGATTGGTTGTAAACATCGGATTTCAGAAAATATTAGACATGGAACATTAAGAGGAAATCAGATAGGGGTGGGGAATTCAAAATAAAAACAAACATAGTCAGTTGATTGGAAGATAAGAATCTCATTTTTGCATAACGATAGGTGCTGATGATGAAATTTTATTTTGATCCTATTGACAAAATATTGCTGTAATGACCATTTTAAACGGTATGCCATCTTCGATATCTCAAATTCATTTGATCTTTCAATGGATATGTAAAGGAAGGACTGACTTAAAACTAGAAAATCATTGATGATTTACCTATTGGTTTAGCTGACAACAGTACTCAACAACTTTGAACGATGGAGATTGTTCTATTTCTGCCAATATCCAACTTTCTTACGAAGAATATTATTTTTTCAAAAACTATCATCGTTCTTCATTCATAGGCCCCCCTCCTTCGGCAAAGTTCAATTGAGTACGTTGTCGACGGCACCCGATTTAAACCCAAATTTCATTCCGATTTCCCTTTTTTCCCAATTCTCAACATATTTTTCCTGCCTAACTCTTCATGGAGTTGTAGCGGATTAACTACTTTCGTAAACCTTGACTGAACTCAGAAACCTCTACCAGCGGTTCGCAGAAGAAATAGACGTATTGCGAGAACACGTTTATTTACTAGATAAATCACGCAAGAAGTGTATACAGGAAGGAAACTCAGTCATACAACATGGCGGATTTGGTAAAACAAGTGAGGGTCATTGAGCTGCTATTGGCTGCGTGCTCTTGTCCTCAATCAGTACGCGAAGTTGTACGGCCGCACCTCAAGCCTAAGTGTACGCGCATGCGATGACGTCTCCCACAGAGTTTTACGTTGAAATTCGATTGGTCGTTTCCAATCTATCTGCATGCCACAATAGGCCCTTCAAATGGAATTGTTTTCCAATTATACATATCAACATATCAAATGATTCTTTCTTAATTTAACACAGTTAATTCCGGCTGCTAAATATTTCCTTCCTAGATATCTCACTGCTTCTCATTCCACAGCCCTTCAAATGGAATTCAATACCAATTTCACCTTTAAGTACTTGCATTCTCATCGTCATAAGGAGGCCAAATAATGAATATATTGAATATTGAAGGTCATGACATGTATGAAGGGGTAGATAGGAAAATCAGATCGGTGCAGTTTCACTGGTTTATCGACATGTCACAACATACCTATTTATGTGCATAGCAATCCCTTAAAAAGAAAATTTTGCACCAATATTGCCAATAAGTAACTACCTTCACACTCTCAGTGTGTTTCACATGGAGGTCAAATAAAGAATATATTGAATATTGTAGGTCATGACGTGCAACAAGGGAAGACATGGAAAGTTGATGTAAATTGACGGAAATTTGTAAAAGAATTTAAAAGGGTATAAGCTAGCTCTTCTCATCCTCCTTTTCACCAATCTCGCAGACCACTTTTGTTATAATGGCGTCGGCTCCAGCATCACTTTGATGAAATGTAGCCGACTTCAACATCACCTTTGCCTTTTGCATCAGTCGATATTTCTGTCTCCACTATTTCCTCACTTTCTACAGCTTCATTGACAGGAGTGGCTTGAGAACCCGCATTCCACCAACTATCCACAACGACTTTACCTCGTCCATTGAGGTGTGCACTCAGAGTGATGCGACCAACATAGAGAAGGTAGAGAAGGAACTAAACGGAAGAACATTTGAAATGATAAGTTGATTAAAGCTGATATTTATCGATTGATGGGTAGATGAAGACTTCATATTTCGCTTAGAAAATCGCAAGAGAATACAAAGCAAAAGAGGTGTATTCGTTTGAATGAGACCACCTTTAATTTGGTCAATACTTTATATTTTATTCTGTCCCAAGACAAATCAAAATATGTTGTCATCGCTTGGTCAATACATGGACATGACAAGTCAAAATATGGGAGACAGCAGATATCCTAATCAAATCAAATGTATTTTTCAGTTCTGGACATCAAAATTGCTCATTGATTGTTAATAAATTGAATTTAATGAAAAATTTAATATGAATGCACTTTATCGTTCATTTAGGTGCAAGTTTGTTGGAGTTAGGTCACTGAACCTTCTAATTAGTGTCTCAAATTAACTACTTTCATATCGACTTTACTCTCGTATTCATAATGGTTAACTTGAGGTGTAGCATCCAAACATTATTTCAAACAGGAGTAACTATTTTGCACTAAAAAAGCACTAGGTTTATTCCTCAATATTTACTTTAAAACTAATTTACCTCCATAAACGCAGTTGCTAAAGTGAAATTAAGAACGCAATCCTATATCAAACATCGACATTAACTGCAGTGACCATTTGAATGCAAAATAGTTTGAGTGAAGTGACTGTACCATATAAACATTATTCATTCAATTATAAATAATACATTTTGCTTGACCAAACAGAATGATTCACCTATTTATGACAAATGTGAAACTACAACTACTTTCGAATCTATTTCCGATAATTAACCTTAAATTCCTTTTCAAAAATTGTTAAATTGAAGTGTTCAATTCATCCAAAGCATTCGCAACTTCTCTTCAAGTGACTGTTCAACACGGAATGGAGGAGAATATCAAAAGGGATCATAACTATTCGAATGGATCCTGTTGGCTCTTCAGGTCACAAGTAGCTGTTTACTGCCAGCAGAAAAGAAAGTTTTAACATTTACAATAATCGAATTTTAACCATGAATTGTAAGAGTCACACAGTTTCTGCTGTTCACAATTCTATTTTTTTACAATTAATAAACTAATCTTCCCATATATATTTCACTTATGCCTGCTACACAACTTTTCCATCTATTGGGCGTTAAACAAGGCGTTCTAGTTGGATGGTAAGCATAACTCAATTATCATGAATTACAGCATTTGGTGAGACTATTTCAACTGCTCTGGCTCACGAACGTACAATGTGCCATGACTTTTCAGTTTCACCATGTTAACAATCTTTGAAATGTGTCCGTTTTGCAAAAGTAAGTACAATAAAGACGTCTTCAAGAATCGGTCTTGACCTCCAACGCTTGGCAGATCTGAGTAACTATTTCAGTGTTTAGGACATCGACGCAGAAATGGATGCATTAATTAATTGTTTGGTGTGGTAAAGGTATGTCAATCTCGGTTCTAGATCTATTTAAACCCATGATACGTTAACAACAATTAAACCATGTGTGCTTTCCTGTATTTTAATCAATTACCGACTTTAAATCCCACACTTCTAAGTATATGCCATTACCTCTCTTAACTTGCTGGTCAAATTTAAACCAGCCAACCAGTGTTGAAATAGACGATGGAAATTATTGCTAATTTAATTTAGTTATAAATCAGCTTCATGTACTGTGATTTGAATTGTTGAACCAACCTGCACAATAAGACCGACTATGATGATCGTCGTGCAGACAATGGCAGCCTTCGTTGGTTGACTCCAATCAAGCACCGGGTAGATTGGTTTTTCATGGCCGGTATCGAAGTAGAGAAAGGAGAAAGTGGAATAAAGTATACCGAATATCATTGGATATATAGCATGAAGTAATCGAATCGGTAGTCCATTTAAAAATAAATCTAAGATAACAGTAAGGGCTGGAATTGTGTGTTTGAACTCTGATTCTGGCTTGTAGAATCGATCTAAATTCAATAAAAACAGATGATATTGATTGCAGCTTAGTTCTCAATTCACACTATTAATATTATTCATTTATTAATTGGTTATTTACCTTTTACACTTATTTACACTATTGTTCCACTTCTGATCAATATGGCGAGACTTTTAATTTTCACAATGGTTATGAAACTGCACTCTCTAATAACACCCTCACATTAATATCTCTCATAATTATTTTAAAATTATCAATGTATCAGTTATCGCTACCTTAAAAGGTAATTTATGATACCGACATAGCTGCAACTAACAACCACAAAAATGTGTGCTGTACAAGGTTACTCAGTAGTTTTAATAAATATTTTAATGACTGCATGCTCTCCAATTATAACAGAGAATAATGAAATAATATTTTCATATTCAAAGTTAGGCTCAGAGATGCCTCTCCACATTTGGACTAGACTGGTAATAACAGAATATTAAAAAGAGATGGAATGTCTGGCTATGTCCTCTTTGAGAAACATCTAGTCGTAATTAATATAAATCGATCCATGTGTCATCGTGTGAGTACTAAGTGAGTTAGTTGGATTTGCTCGTATTTGCATAAATGCACAATTATCAAAGTTAAACATTAATCACACTAGAATTTAGTTGATTACTCTTTTATCGATCATTCTCCTAAGATAAGACCGATAGATCAAATTATTTTCCCTTTAATCCTTGTAAATCAATTATTGTTCGCATGGACAAGACAAGACAAGGATTTATATTTTTTACTTCGGGGTGTGCGATAGACTTACCTCCACGTGGTGCACTCTGGGCAATGTATACTAATACGGCAAAAAATTATAAACTGGTATTATATTCTAAAGCAAATTTCAAAAACTTTGGGATTTAACTTGATTGTATTTTAGAGAAAAACTTTGTGAACTAGAAGGCTCAGTAATAGTTTGGGTTGTGATATACCACTGAACAAAGTAATCTCATGTGCACTCATACAGTCTGGGCGGTGCGTCCGTGGAACTTGTCGTGATGAGTAAGTGTGATCGTGAGAGGGGAATACACTCAGTCAATAACCAATCAACAGCCCTTGTTTGGTTTAGTAAAACCACACAATATTAATATGACGACTAATATCCAAGATTGTACACACACAACGCACACATTTCCCAAACAAACGTGTTCCACGTGATATGTCTGTTTCCTCTATAGACATGAGGTAGCTTATCTAGTTGTGGGAGTCTTTCCAAGCATAGAGGAAACTGCCATAGAGATAACTGAATGTAGTCAAGGTTTATTAGTATAGCATTACATTAAAAAGGTGAAATGACATGCATAGAATATTTATCCTGCTGTCAATTAGGGTCAGTCTGGTTCAGACCAAAACTTACAGTATGTTGGATCCCATAATGCAGCCCAGTAACCAAGAGATGTGACCACGACTGTGTTCATCGACATGCCGTAAAAGAACCAGAGAATTTCACTAATCCATCTTGAAGCCTTTGCATCTGAAATTTTTGATCATATGATACATTTTGGGGTCATTGTATTTCAATAAAGTTAAAAATTAAGTAGGTGAATTTAAAATAGTAGTATCATCGGATTAGATTTGGATCAGTGACTTTACTCGTATCTCTATGAAAAATTTAAGAAATGGCTTTAATTAATTAAATGAAGTTCAATATTATAAAATGTTCATATCAGAATTATTAGGAAGGCATATTGGACAAAATATTAACTATTATAATAAGAACAATTGTGTGGTATATATACTTAAATATAAATATATTTTTCGCATTCTATTGTCAAATAGCTTGATTGCAATTGCTTATTAAAATTTTATCAAATTTTTCAAAAAGGGTAAATATTCCCCAAGTCTCAAATGTATTCACAGAGAAGAAGATAATTCAGCGGTCATTTATAATTTGCACATTTAAATTATGCGGTGGGCCACGCTAACAAGGCTTGCATGGTGAGCTCTCGTGCACTAGAGTATTCTGGAAATTGTGGCCGCGAAATCGAGCACGTATTGATCAGGTGTAGACATGCGTGCAGAGATATTCTCAACTTGAAATATTCATTCAAAATGGCATTAGATGCTGTTTTCCAATGACCAACAAAGTTTCCAGATCGTTTTAAATTTCTTAACAAATTTTTATTTTAGTCAAAATATGGGAAACAAAAACTGACCACATTTGTAAAACGCAGATACATAAATTGACTTTATTACAAATTCAAAAAAGAGATTATTAAATTAAAAACAAGTAACTTCACCTTTCTTGCAATTGTAAAACGTGCAGAATATTGCGAAAACCATTGAGCTGACCGTGTATGTGAGGAACGACCAATTTGTGGCATAAAGAAAGTATTTACTCTTTGTGTGAGTATGTTTGCTTTGCTCAATTTCCTCCACAATTTCCACGCAAGCCCAAGCTAACAGCCCGATGGCAATGATGAATCGGTAGATTGGATAGAAGAACTTATCCATCCACATCCACTGAAGAAGAAAAAGAAAATTCAATAAACAAGCAATTAAATCGAATCGGGATTTCAAATGTAGATGAAGTTGTTTGTGGAAGCACGCAGTATGGATCGAATCGGTGCAAAAATCAACGTGGAATTCCAGCACCCACATTCCCATGGCGTTAATTGAACAAAATATAAGGATGATTATTAGTCACAAAGTAGAATGCCCTCCTCAAATATAAATTTTTATTTGAAAGGGACGAATAGTGTAGAATCAAGTAATCGATAACGATGAAACATGTTATGCGATTCTTTATCAACACCCAATCATCAGAGCTATTGAGTTGAATCTCTCTTATTGGTGCAATTGACATGGAATTTATAAGTATACACTTTTAACAACTTAATATTAAAGCTTATACAAACAAAAAATTCGGGAAAACAAGATATTTTGCACCTCAGTAATCAACGAACTGGATTTTTTATGCGTATTCGATGGTGTGAGAGATTGACCCTACATGCTAATTCTGAGGAGACAAAATACGAGTTTAAGATTATGGAATTATTTCAAATTACTTTTCTCTCTCAAAATCAAGTAGCCCTAGCACATTTCTACTTGAATATGGGAATATTTATTTTATGAAAGTGAATGTGTTCACTGGTATCATCGTTATTGATCATAGGAAGTGACAGAGGGGTTATCTTATGTCATAGAGAGAAAAGTGGGCATTTCGCAAACTTCAGACTTTGACAGCAGCATAATCTACACTCAGGTCAAACATTTTTCGAGTTTCTTTTCTTGAGTTCTATTGTATTTTAACCATTCACCTTTACTCAGAACATAATTCAAATTTAATTAGCAGAAAGAATTATGGTTAAAACGTAAGATCGATGCTTTAAGTGCCATGTCAAGTTCAAAATCTACTATCTGAAAGCAATTGATTCTAAATTGATCAGGCTAACAGGAGACATGTATACAAGGCCATGTTCAAGTCGTCTGTAAGTAACAGGTCATACCTATACTAGAGTAACACATCTTCTGTTATTATTATTAAGCATAATTATCAACAAATTTTTAGTACTTCATCAACCTCCCTGTATGTTTAACCTCCAAATCATTGAAAACTTGGTCGATAGGTCTCAAAAACGCCTAAGTTAAAAATGTCACATCCTTATAACACCTTCTCATAGTTCAGAAGGGAGTTTCCACATAATTATACAAATTAAAATATACTTTACCATTTTTTGAAACCGCCTCATTCCCTTTTCACTTAAAGGTTGGCTTTCGTGAGTGGAAATATAATGAAGAATAAATAGAACTATTATAATTGTTTTCCTTTACTAGGTCAATTCATTATCTGATTGTCAATCACATTTGCTTGAACTAAAAGCCAAGTGCCATTCTAAGTTTCCTGCGGTAAGTTTGAACACTGAGCATGCAAATCAATAATTGGAAAAAAAGAAGAATTTCAAAACTTACTTGAGCAAATGGGAAGTGGTCATATTGGGCTCCACTGAATCCCAGATTTCGACATTTAAATTCGTATCTAAAGGCCTTTCCCAGTGTTTGGCAACAATTGCTACGTTTTTCTGCTTTATCCTCCATTACGCTATTGGTTTTCTTGGAACGTTGACGGCAAGTGCTGGATTATATAGATATTCTAATTCATCTCAACCAATGAAAGTGTCCTAGAGCGTTTTTTTGTGGTTCAAACACTTTACAACACTATTCACCATTGAATGAACCTTTACAGCATTTTACACTTAGCTTTTCCTTATGACCTACCTTCACTTTGACCTTAAGGAGAATAAAGTCATTTCGTTTTCCATAGTTATTTTGTTCTTTATAATGTGTGTGTGTGAGCGCCTATAGATCAACCTCTTTGTTATAGCCATTTTCTGATTTTTAACATTCCACATTATTTTGCTCACCCTTTCAATGTTCAATTACATCCGAAATTTTAAAGAATTATCCAACGTTTTGTCTTCTATGATTTCGTAATTCAAGCAAACATATTTATTTATAGTGGGGTGTGTGATAGACTTACCTCCACGTGGTGCACCCTGGGCAACGTATACTCATACGGCAAAAGAGCCTATCAACTGGCAGTTGACCTCTGACTTCAAACTACCATGACCACACTGTATGTCATATTCGACCCCTTTCACAGTACTCACCTTACCTTTTTTCTCTACCTCTTTTACATCTGTGAACTGCTCCTCTGTTCCCCACCCCTCGACTTTCTGCTACTTTGAGCATTCCCTCTGTGAGGCCCGAAGTCAGCTAAATGGCTAATGTCTTCCCTCTGTGAAGCCTGAAGTCAGCTAAATGGCAAATGATAGCTATCAAATTCGACTTTCTGCTACTTTGATGAACCTTCCCTCTGTGAATCACGAAGTCAGCTAAATGGCTAATGATAGCTATTATAACGCCTGCCATGTCAGCTAAATGGCTAATGATATCTATCAAAACACCTGCCATTTGAAATAAAAAAATAATTCATTTATGGTATAATGAAAGTGTAGAGAACAAGATTCAGCGCTGAGTGAGTGGACGTAGGACCTGGATATCTACTGCTACTGGATAAAATCACAGCTCCGATAGATCAATCCCACTCAATAAAAAGTTTTACAAGAGGACGCTTATTGAGATTCGTTAATCTCGATATGATTTTCTATCTATTTGTAAAGTATAAGGCCATTACTATGACAAGAGCATGAAATGTTGATTCATGAGAATTTGGAATCTTCATTCTGCACCGCACACTTCGGGGAAATCTGTGGTGTAGGAGAAGTTTTAAAGAAGCCATCGGGCCCGAATCAAGTAAATTATTGCACCTGGGTAGAATGAAATGACGCAAAAGGTAGAAATAGGGCCAAATTGATTTTTAAATAAGGAAATCGATATTTTGTAGATGAAAAGCTGGACTAAATTAATTAACGAATTTAGGCAATAGTTAATTCGATGCATCATGTATATTTGAGGCCCGGGGTGTGCGATAGACTTACCTCCTCGTGGTGCACCCTGGGCAACGTATACTCATACGTCAAAAAATCTATTAAACGGCAGTTGACTTCTCACTTCAAACTACCACCCCCCCCCCCCCAACTGTATGCCATATCCGACTACTTTCACAGTACTCACCTCACCTTTTTTCTACCTTTGTATCTGTCTCTGAAACACTCTTCTGTCCCCCCCCCCTCCTCTCGACTTTTTTTCACATTGATGTTCCTTCCCCTCTGTGAAGCTTGAAGTCAAATAAAGTGCTATTGATAGCTATCAAAACGCCTGCCATTTTATATAATATTTGAGGCCCTATGAAAATGTCAAATTTAATAATATGCACTGCTTATTCTCTAAATACTTTGGAAAATAAAGAGTTTTTATTTACTCTTGCTATTACAATTATTACTATTTCCCAATTCGACTGACTGAAACTAATTATTAAAATGCAGATAGTTAGTAGCCTAAGTTATGAAAAACTCCAAGTATAGTGACCCTGGCATTGCTGTCACATTGTCTTAAGTGCCCCTATTAACAGCTTCACGGTCATTAATTTCTGACACATTTCTTGCATTGGGTACATTGTTGAATACTGAAAAAAATCGCATGTTAAACTGAGTAATTTCAAAACTTTTTGATTATTATGTCATTGGCAAACCTTAAATTTTCTAGCTTTTGGATAAGGGTTGGGGTTGTGACTCTATTTCAACTCTATTTCACCACCAACATTAATAAAATTAAAGTATAATAGGCGAGAAGGGAATTTTATACATATCTTAACATTGCACTTGGGGTAAAGTTCTACTGAAAAGTCCAATCATGAGAAAATGTTCAAGCTCTGGGAGTGAAAGATGATTCACCTTTTAAGATGGAGCAATTCATTAGTGAAAATGAGAATCCTATTACCAGCTTTAAAAAAATCCCAATTTCCCAAGAAAGAATTGATTGTCTTTAGTATTTGTCGATTATACGAGTAAAAAATCGATAGGGAATATCATTGGACCATCCACTTAAAATTAATACTGTATTCTAATCTCAGTTTTAAACTTTCATTGACCGAAAACCGTCAATAGGATTCGACTTATAATACGACCTGGCCATTCAGTTTACTTCATTTATGCTTGCAGATTTATGGTTACCCTACTAATGAGTACATGTACATACATACACTAGCCACAATCCAAGTTTGAACTTAATTTTAAACCATTAAATCTCTTGACGTGCATATAAAAGGTATGCAGAGGCATTCAAAATTCTTCAAATTTGGGAAAAAGAAGTTCACTCACCTCGTTTTCTCATGATACCTCCTCTCATCTCATCCACTAATTAACCTCTCTCCTTCTCTTATTCACAATCAAATTTCGCTCATCTTGCATTGGCAATTATGCAGTGCATAAAGTTTTGCTAAAAAAGCAAATTGCTCTCACAATCTGCCTCAAATTTCCTCTTTGTCGCTTGTATATACTACTTATAACTTAATTTCATAAAGCCACTTGTAAAGTTTTTGTTCAATTGCCTTGTCTTTATTAATAACATGGTCAAGGAAAACGGTTTTCAGGCAAGACGAATTAAGTTGAACTCAAGTCGTTTAATCATTTCCAAAAAAATATCTGCAAATGTCCACGATTTCAATCACTTAAAATATTAGGTAAAATACATATATTCAAACCATCAGTTTGGAAATGCCACGTGGTAAGATTAATCAAGAGATTTGGTTAACACGTTTGTCTGCTGACAAGGCAAAAATGTTCTCTTTACATACTGGCTCAATTTTCTAGTCTTTACAGTAGGTAGTATGATGGCGACTGCTTATTGCCCTAAAGTGATCGCATGATCCTATCCTCTTCATTGTTTTGGAATACAGCGAAACCAAAAGCTACGAAAATTCAAAATTTTGATAAATATATTTTATCCCATTACAGATATCATATGTAAAATGATTAGCAATGAATAAACCTAGGCAGGAAATTCAAAAGAATCTCTACTTGTGTTCTCCTGAACCGCATATTTTCCCGAAGTAAGTGGAGACGAAGAAAGAACCAAAATTCTCGTAGATCAACGTTTCCAACTCTTGCTCTAGTTATGGCCCCATAGTTTCAAATATATATATATATATATATATATAGTTCGATCTATTGATTTATTCTATAACAGACCTATTGAATCATGCAAATCCAAGTTTATCATTATTAACTAAATTGCAAGAATGAATATTTTACTGAGATATAGGTAGTTTGGTTGACAGCCACTGATGGAGTTGTAAGTTGCCTAGCAACAGATTACAACGCTTCAATACTTTCTTAACCACTCTTACTAAGTCTGTTTTAGCAATAATTGCACATTCCAACAAAGGTGGAGAATAATGAAAAGAATTGTCTGAAGGGTTGATAGTTGAAAAACAAAATCACTGCTCACTTTTGAATGGGTTAATTGATGAGGCCAACGATAATGGAAAGCATTCACAGTGGTGAAATAGGTAGACATGTTGAACTTCTATGGAAATTTTCTGTCTCGAGTGAGATACAGGCATGACTTCTCTTATAGTAAAACAATATCGTCAAAAGAGTCTATGAAATCAACTGTTTTATGTCTAGAAATGTAGCAATGTGCATAAAATAAATTTGGTTCAATTTTAGTTTAATTGCTATTCATCTATTTACATAATTAAAAAACTGTAAAGAGGAGATGTTTAGCCCTTGCAACTAAAAGAGTATAAAATGATGATGGACAATAGACGAACAGTGGTACATCCGTATAGTCCTTTCACAAAAAGCGCTAATTCGTAATGAAAAGCTGTGCCAATATTTACACCAATTGGGCTTATATCTATCTTTATTAACTATAAAATATTTATTTATTTCGAATGGCAGGCGTTTTGATAGTTATCATTAGCCCTTTAGCTGACTTCGGGCTTCACGGAGAGGAGGAACATCAAAGTGACAGAAAGTCGAGCGGTGTGAGAAAGAATAATGATTTACAGATATAAAAGAGACAGACAGACACAAAGGCAGAGAAAAGGTAAGATGAGTACTGTGGAAGGGGTCGAACATGAAATACAGTGGGGCCATGGTAGGTTGAAGTCAGAAGTCAATTGCCGGATAATAGACCTTTTTGCCGTATGAGTATACGTTGCCCAGGGTGCACCACGTGGAGGTAAGTCTATCGCACACCCCTTAACTATAACATTATTTGAGGCAATTAATCTGCATGTAACTATTAACTAGAGCACACTGTTTAGCAAGGCTCATAAAATAAATTTGGTTCAAGTTCAGTTAAATTCCTCTTAATCTGTTTACATTATCAAAACTATAAAGAGGAGAGGGTTCGCCCTTGCAACTAAAAAGAGCATAAAATTATATTTCGTTAATTCGTAATGGAAAGCTTTAACGGTATTTACACATATTAGGCTTAATTGAGGCAATTAAACTACTGGTTAGCTATTTTCATGATTTGACATGGATCGTACTTTGCAAATGGGTAGAATTTTCGCGAAACTTTAATTAATTTTCCACAGGAACCAATATAGATTAGTTAGCACTTGAATAAGTCCATCAGCATTAACTATATATTATTATTATTACAATTTCAAGCTTTCAATCACCATTATTTAGTAAGACTACGTGAGAATTTTATTTTCATGCAATCGGATTGTAACAGCACTTGTATCAATGATGTTCAGGGACATATGCTAATTGGTCAATTTTCTCAAAACGAGTAAAACTCTTGCTATGCTGTCTCTTTGTTCTAAAATGTAGTTTCATTATTAAATCGCATAATGCTTAATTCACTTCATATGTGCCCTATCAAATATTTTTGCACAAATAATCGATTGCAGGGTGTACCACTCTACTTTGATACTCACAGACTTGAGCAGTTAGATTGGACAAGTAGAGACAGATTAGACAGCACACATCACAGTAGAACTTCTTGAAACCCACATTCACCACTGAGTTGTCATAATAATAGATGAATTGAGATGTTTGTTTATTTACATCAAATGGCAGGCGTTTTGATAGAGGAGAAGGAACATTAGATTGCAAAAGGTTGAGAGGGGGAGGGAGACAGAAGACGGTTTCAAAGACGTAAAAGTGACAGACACAAAAGTAGAAAAAAAGGTGAGGTAAATACTTTGGAAGTAGTTGAATATGACATACAGTTGGGGGGGGGGGGGGGGGGGGGGGTGATGGTAGTTTGAAGTGAGTAGTCAACTGTCGGGTAATACACTTTTTGCTATATGAGTATACGTTTCCCAGGGTGCACCACGTGGAGGTAAGTCTGTCGCACACCCCATGAACTGAAATGTAAGTTTCTACTTAGATCTACAGATATATTAAATTGTCAATATATGCAGTATTATCTCAATATCTCGAAGTCACTTGGGTTTGAAGAAGAATAGGTTCAACTTGATGCTGAAACTTTCTTCCACTTTCATTTCAAACTTAATTTCTTCAGTTTGCGCGTTGAAAACATTTTAACTTTCATAGGGTTGCTTCAATAACACCCTACGGAGTACTTAAATCGTTTAATCATGTCCGCAAAGCCCTACTCTAAATTTGACAAATAGAGGCTGGAAGAAATGCGAAATGACTGAACTCTCTTCAAAGTCCAAGTAAAGAGTTGGTCTCAAAGTAGCACCACATGTTAAATACTCTTGAAAGTAATCTCTCATATGAAAGTGTACTGTTTTGTTGTGATTAAACTACAATATTGCACATTATTATGTGAGGCACCATGTGATTGGAAGGTGGTATGAAGCTTAAGGACGACACTTTCATTGGTTGAGATGAATTAGATGTCTATAAAGTCCAGCACTAACCGAAAATGTTCCGATGAAGCAATCGAATCATGGGAGATAAAGGTGATGGACTAAGGTCTTGCTGTTCAACCTTTGGAAAGGCCCTTAAATACGAATTTAAATGGCGACATCTCGGATTCGGTGGAGCTTACTATGAACACTTCCCATTTGCTCAAGTAAGTTATGAAATTCTTTCTTTTCAATTATCGATTTGCATGCTCAGTGTTCAAAACTATGGCAGAAAATTTATAATGACATTTGGCTTTTAGGTCATGCAAATATGCTTACTTGTGACGAAATGAAATGTTTCGTTATTTTTGTTCGAGTAAGGTAGTAATGAAAGGTGTTTTATTTTAAAAAAGTGGATTGTAACGATATAATTTAGTAATTTAAAAAATGAAATCCAATTCAATGCGCTTTAGCTGACATAATAGACTCAATTTATCATCACCTCTCAGATAAGTGTCTCAATTGTTTCTTTTCATTCTCCCAATACCCCAGCAAATGCATACACACACGCAATAGTCCGCCGGGTTAAGATCTGGAAGGGATAGACAGAGGTGTACGAGAGAGATTTTCCGAGAACAAACCTACATTGAGAGTGGTGAATTCGTAAATATGGGCTGATGATCATTTTGCACTTTTTCCAGTAAATGCGGTGGTCAACTTCAAATCAAGAGAAGAAACTCGAAAATTGTTTGACCTGAGTGTAGATTATGTTGTCGTCAAATGCTGGATTTTGCAAAATTTTGACTTTTTTTCTATTTGACGTAGATTCACCCAGCTCTTAATTCCCTTGGTCAATAATAATGCCACTAATGAGTGCATTCAATTGCATAAAACAAATGTTCATAATATCATCAATTAAAGTGCTAGGGAAAATGGATTTGGCAAGGAAAAATTCATTTAGATTGACTACGTAATTTTAAACCCGTATTTTGTCGCCCCATATTTTGGCCAGAATGAGGATGTGGGTTCTGTCCCTCACACCATCGAATACCCATCCGAAAGCCTGTTCGTTGACCACTGAGGTGCAAGATATTTTATTTACCCAAATTATTTGTTTGAAATAAGCATTAGTTGGAAGTTTCGAATGTGTTTATTTAAAAGACAGTACCCATTAAAACAATGGAACAGGTACAACAAAAAAGTTGTGTTGTTATAATGTTAAGAAAGGGATGAGAGACATAGTTCATGCAATTCGAGGTACTTGATTCTACACGACTTGTCTAGTCTGAATAAAAATTTATCTTTGAGGAGGGCATTCTACTTTGTGGCTTTTAACCATCCTTATCTTTTGTTCGATTTACGCCATTGGAAGGTGGGTGCTGGAATTCCACATTGATTTTTGCACTGGTTCGATCTCTACTGCAAGCTTCCAGAAAACAACTTCATCTGCATTTCAAATCCCGATTCGATCTAATTGCTTGTTTATTGAATTTTCTTTTTCTTCTTCAGTGGATGTGGATGGATAAGTTCTTCTATCCAATTTATCGATTCATCATTGCCGTCGCTTTGATAATTTGGGTTTGTGTGGAGGTTCCACTGAGATTTGCGCAATACACAGATGACTACATGAAGAAAAAATACTTCCTTTATGCCACAAATTGGTCGTTTCTCATATTCACTCTAAGCTGCATTGTCTTCGCAATACTGTGCACGTTTTACAAATGCAAGAAAGGTAAAGTTATTTGCTTTAGAATAAATAATCTGTTCGTCTTGAAGTTATGACAAAGTCAATTTACTTGTCTATATTTTGCAAACGTGGTCAGTGTTTGTTTCCCATATTTTGACTAAAATACAAACTTGTTAAGAAATTCAAAAGATCAGGAGACGTTGTTGGTCATTGAAAAAATGCATCTTATGCCACTTTGAATGAATATTAAAAGCTGAGAATGTCTCTGTACGCATGACTACATCTGCTCAATACGAGCTCGATTTAGCGGCCACAATTCTCAGGGTATCGCATAATTTATGGGAACAAATTCGATTTGACCTCAAAATTTTAATTAGCTAATCGATAAAACTTGATTCAATCTCAGCAAATTTATTTCTCAATACAATTCAAAAAAATTATTAATTTTTTGATTATTTATTATTGAACAATAGTTTTCTTATCATCGTGGCTTATGTGTTTACGCGTAGGCCATTTTAGCTCGATTAAAAATAATTCTTTTAACTTTGAATTGAATTCAACTTATTGTATTTATAGAAATTAAATAACCTTAAAGAGTATATTTTGTGATTAAAATTCTCAGAGGCAACAATTGCAAGATGGCCTTTCCAAATTCTCTGGTTATTTTACGGCATGTCGTTGAACACGGTTCTGGCCACAAGTATTGGCTATTGGGCAGCAGTATACGATTCAAAAACTGGTAAGTTTTTTTTACTTCAAGCAGTTTTGATATGCTATTCGTTAACACAAATACGCATAGAGCTATTTTTAAATGGGGATTATTCCTTTGGTTTTAAGTAGTATGCAATAAAATCTCTTGTCGTGCAAATGAGTGCGGCAGGATGTACCCTTGGTAACATTAATAGCTTAGCAAGAGCTAAAGGAAATATTGCTCGAACTATGACGTAATTCTATTTTTAATGTTCTCACCCTTCTCTCCTGTCTCTTGAGCATGGTCGCTAGCAGCAGCAGAAGACGTCAGTAGATTCCATGATTGACGAATGTCTGCTTTGTTCACTAGTATTGGCGATTGCAATTCCCTTGTTGCTGAAACATGCATAGAGGAATATAAGCACTTTAAAAATGGCTCAATTTATTTAAGCATTTAAGATAAAATAAAATAATTTTGTTTTTAATTCAAAATTTAATATGGAAGTATGGGCTATAACTTTGAACATAACATTCACAATTAAAACACAATAATTTATTCTGATTGGAGGGCGGATTTTTAAATCCTTTCTACCGCTTTGAAAGCTGCATGCAATTACGTCACAATCTTAATAGGAAACATTTTGAATTGCATTACCTTAAATGTGAAGACTATTTTTCTAATATTAAACTTTCACTGATATCACCAAAATTATGATTCAGGAGTCAATATTGATGTTTTCCTCCATGCTTCATATCTAGAGAGAGCTATTAACTAAAATCTAGTGCAATTAAAGTTTTTTTTTGTGTCCTGTTATTACCAGTCTTGTCCAAATGTGGAGAGGCACCTATCAGCGTAACGTTGCCACTGGCTACTAAAAAGAAAATGAAAATATTGTTTAATAATTTGCTTTATATTTAGTATTTTATTGCCATTTATATTTTAACAACATTTAATCTTTATATCATTTATTAAAACTAATGAGTATTCTTGTACAGCGCACATTTTGAACAAAGTACTGTCAAATATTATTTTGTGGTTGTTAGTTGTAGCTATATCGGTTTCATAAATGACGTTTAAGATCGCGATTACTCATACTTTGATCATTTTCATTGTAATTTATTCTCTTATAAATAAGATAGATGTTATTTAAAAGCATAATAAGAGTGTGAATTTTCATAAACGTTGTAAAAATTTAATGACTGTCAATATTGATTAAGACTGCGACACTAGATTAAATTAGTTTAAAAGGTAGATCGCCCCTCATAAATGAATAAATTTAATAGCATGAACCAATCAATATCATCTGTTTTTATTTTTTGTTTTGAATTTAGCCCTGCTGAGGTCGGTGCTGAAACACTCAGTTCCGCCCATTTTAGTAATTATAGACATGTGGATAAAGGGACTCCCGATTCGATTACTTCATGTTATATATCCAGTGAACTTCGGTATAGTTTACTGCACCTTCTCCTATATCTACTATATTACTTGCAATGAGAAGCCAATCTACTCGACGCTTGATTGGAGTAGACCAAAGAAAGCGTTAATTGTCAGCTTGACGATGATCGTTTCCGCTCTCGTGATGCAAGTTAGTTTGTAAATTCGAATCACATTACAAGAAGCTGATTTCTTATAGGCTTGAATTCACTCTAATCATTACCCATAACCTTAAATTAACTTAGCAAAATTTTCCATCACCTGTCTCGACACTGATTGGCTGAGTTATATTTGGCCGGCAAGTTAAGAGAGGTAATGACCTTCACTTACAAGAGTGGAGTTTAAGTATGTGAAGTGATAAAGTTAGTAATTGATTAAAATACAGGGAAGCACACATGGTTTGGTTGCTGATGGCATATCATGGGCTGAAATAAATCTTGAACCGTGATTGACATACCTTCACCACCCCCAAACAACTAATTAATACCACCATTTCTGCGTCGATGTCATAACACTTAAATACTTACTCAGATTATATGAGCATTGGTGGCCAAAACCGATTCAAAGATTGATAACATGGTGAAATTGAAAACGCATGGTATGAGGTAGGCTCTTGATCCAGGGTAGTTGAAACTGTCTCACCAATAGTCTCTCACATCATAAAATATTGAATTATGGTTCCTATTCGCTTAGGTTGCCTTGGGAAACAATCAAAGGATTGGCAAGTTGTATAACAGAGATAAGTAAAATTCATGAGAAAATTAGTTTATCAATGGGAAAAATAGAACAATAGAAATATTCTTTTTGGCTATGCACCCTTAAAACTGTTCAAATAGTAACCCAAATGTATTTATTTATTTATTTCAAATGGAAGGCATTTTGATAGTTATCATTAGCTCTTTAGTTGACTTCGGGCTTCACAGAAGGGAGGAACATCAAAGTGAGAAAAATTCGACAAGGGAAAAGAAGAGCGTTTCACAGATATAAAAGAGACAGACAGACACAAAGGCAGAGAAAAGGTAAGATGAATACTGTGAATGTGGTCGAATATGGCATACAGTGTGGTCATGGTAGTTTGAAGTCAGAGGTCAACTGCCAGTTGATAGACTTTTCGGCCGTATGAGTATACGTTGCCCAGGGTGCACCACGTGGAGGTAAGTCTATCCCACACTCTAGTAACCCAAATATGACATTTAATCTGTACGGTTCAAATTCAACAAGTTTAAATCTTAAAAATCCTGAAAAATGAATACAAAGTTTCTTATCGACAGGAGATGTGATATGACTTGTTTTAAGTAAATTGCTAATATCAACAAAATTTATACTAAAAGGGACAAATCACAATTAAAAAGCGTTGAAGTTTATCATGTTTGCACTTCAACGGCCTATCAGAGTTACAATCGACTGGAAAGAGCATATATCATCGAACCTATATTAGCCAAATTGATTATCTTTAGAAGTTCCCACAACAGTAGTCATATATACCTGTAGCGGACTGCCACCTTAGTAAAGCCTGACTGACTCAGACATCTCTATGGCAGATTCTCCAATATCTACCTAGACTCCCAGAACCAGCTAAGCTATAGCCCAGCTATAAACGAAACAGACGTGTAGCACGGAGCACGCTTATTCAGTACGGGTATTGCGGATAAAGTGTACACGCAGGGAGCTATTCATGATCAGAATGGGGGATTAGGTTAAACAGAGGTTGATGACTGGTCACTGTTTGTACGGTCTCTGCACACAGAGTTGTACGGCCGCACCTCCCAATCCTGGTGAGCAGACATGCAGGGATACGATGACGCACAACGCGATAACGTGTCCCACATACCTTTTAAAATATTTACAATTCTGTCTTTTAATGTATGGGAAAGAAGGAATTTGAGCAAATAGAAAACAACTTGTCAATGCTTAATGGAAGTGAGATGTTCGTCATACCATTTTTAATGAATCTGCCTTTTCTAGTAGCAATGAAGGGTTGCGTCTTACCTGAGCAGTTTTCTTGAGGCATGCAACTATTTGCTATCCACTGGAGGGAGGGTGATTTTCTCCATTCTGTGCTAATATTTTAAGCTTTGTTACGCAATCACTTGTCGGGCAGGTTTGAAAATTATGGATGAATGGAACACCTCAAGTCAACTATTTTTAAAAATGCAATTAAAGTCAATTCACTGATGCCTATTCTAAAATAATTGTATTTTCATATTTGATGCAAATAGGTAAATTGATCTTGTTGATCAAGTAAAATTATTAATTTTTAACTAGAGGATGATCGCTTCTATGGTATAGTCATTTCGTTCAAATGAACGATGGAGTACATTCATTGACCTAACAACTTCTAGGTTTCTTGGTGAAAGGTCACATATTCGATGTCCTGAACTGTAGCGGATTGCTACGCTAGTAAAGCCTGACTGACTCAGAAATCTCTGTTGCAGATTCTCCTACATCTACCTAGACTCCCAGAACCAGCTAAGCCATAGCCCAGCTATAAAGGAAACAGACGTGTAGCAGGGAGCACGTTTATTCAGTAAGTATCTTGTGAGCCAAGAGTACACGCAGGGAACTTAATCATGATCAGGATGACGGATTAGGCCACCGTTTGCACGGTCGCTGCACACGGGGTTGTATGGCCGCACCTCCCGATCCTGGCGTGCAGGCATGCGATGACGCAAAAAGCGCTGACGTGTCCCACAGAACTGAACAAATAATTGATTTGGTCAGAATATCTGATTTGTCTTGAGACAGATTGACTAATAAAGTATTGACCAAATGAAAGGTGACCATGTATATATATATATATATATATATATATATATTTTATTTTACGATTTTCAAAGCTAAAAAATAGGGTCTTAATTTTCCCAACAGCTGATAAATTGCTTTTCGTTTTAGATCCTTCTCTACATTCTCTATCTTTGTCGCATTGCACTGAGCTCACGCATGAATGAACGCGGTAAAGTCGTTGTGGATATGTGGAGGGAAGCGGATTCCTAAAGGCGAAGTGATGTTGAAGGAGGCGACTTTTAGTAAATTTACTCTACTACGAGATTAGTGAAAAGGACAATAGGAAGGAGGAAGACAGATAGCGAAAGCCCTTTTCATTCTTTTAAGAATTCTTCTCAATTTAGATCTACCTTGCATATCTACCCCTTCTTACATGTCATGACCCTCAATATTCAATATATTCATTATTTGGCCTCCTTATGACGATGAGAATGCAAGTACTTAAAGGTGAAATTGGTATTGAATTCCATTTGAAGGGCTGTGGAATGTGAAGCAGTGAGATATCTAGGAAGGAAATATTTAGCAACCGGAATTAACTATGTTAAATTAAGAAAGAATCGTTTGATATGTTGGGATAGTGCTCAGAAATGTTTGACCCTTAAAGTTCCTTTATAAATTTCCTTCTCTGTTACCAATTTCACCTGCTTTTCCTTGATAATAAACATTGTTCCAAGACGTTGTGGGTTATAGCTTAATGAAAGAATTAAATTAATATTTACATTGCTCTTGTTTATCTCTTAAAGTCTGAATCCACTGTTGACTGGAGATGGATCTTAATGCTAAAGTCTAAAATATCTTATAGGTGACTTTATATCAAGTGAAATAAACGCTGACTTCAAAGTTTAGGATTCAACAAGTATTCGATGGACACTGTCTGAGCACCAATTCTGTAACAATCAATCCGTAATTAATTAAGCAGATGCAGAAATACTAAGCAGCTGTTAATTCATCTGATTAAACAAAATTCTTGTTTTTTTTTCATTGGCATCTTTCGACTAAAGTTTTGATGCACCAATAGAGAACGAAACGCCAGCATGGCTGAACCAAGAAATCTTATGCGAGCTAGAACATTCTGGAATGGGTGGCGTCCTATTGCTGATACCGTAGACAACAAGTGTGGTGTCCTATTGATCCCGTGGGCTCACACATCTCTCAGTCAAAACGTAACCAATTGCCACGGCATGGTCAGAGTAGCCAAAAATTGTAAATCCCTAGCAAAGCTCCGTGTTCATGACTCACATCCCAAATTAACGCTCCACGTCTGCTACCTCTGCTTCGTAAAGGTAGCTTAGCTAACTTCGTGGGCCTGTCCACACTAGTCTACTTTGTAATTGAGAATACTGAGAATTTGATCAGACTCGTTCCTGTAGTAATCCGCCACGTTCTTAATTAATTAATCAATTAAAACCAGCAGATAGATATTTCCAATCACTGTTCAATACAAATATCCATTTCAGCATCTATTAGTCCACTATTTGAATTTCGTTTGAAATACCTCCCTAGGAAGGTCTAAATGGAGTTGTTTATCATTTTAAAATTGATATGCGTAATTACTTAAAATATACTTTGAAACACTTTTACATTTTATAGTTTATATCTTTTCCATATTCCAACGAAGTGGGTAAGAATATACGAATATTCTAGGGCAATTGGCTTCCATCACAGTGTTTCACGTTTAAATTTGAGGGCGACAATTAGAGATTTTACTTCTACGTATATTTGCCATTAAAAACTCACTTGTCAAAGTTGCAAATTAGTTTTAGCATTACCGTACTAACTTCAACAAAACCTTATCGGCTATCAATTGTTCTAAACACGAGAAAGCATCTTTAACAAGCAGAGCGAAAAATGTATTTTGTAAATTGGGTTTTTGAGAAAGAGTAAACAAATTGTCATCTTCTACCTTCTGGTCTTGTAGTACTACCAGGTCTTGCATTACTTCCTGGTCTGTTTCCCCCTCGACCACTGCCACCTCTACCTCGACCTTGTGGTCGACTCTTTCTAGGTGGAGTCTTGTCTCTCGTAGCCTCAAGATATTCTCTTATACTTGACTTCACATCTGTACCTTCAGGCAGACTGATGTAACGAACACGTTTGCCCAGAATACTTGTTTGCTAGAAAATGAAAAATATTGTCGACTGATACAATTAAAGTAGAAATTCTTGATTAAATTTTTCAAGACTTACTTCAAGACCCACCAATGGGACGAGAGTTTTCTTGCGAGGTGGTGGATCAATTCTAACACCATCTCTCAAGGTGATATTATTAAAGCCGTCAATCTCCGCGAGAGTTCCAGTCACCTTCGTGCCATTAATAAGGGTAATGCAGACTACTTTATTTGATAAAGTTGCTGGAATTATTGAGAGGAGAGAAGATTTGAGACGTTTATCAGCGTTGAGGAAACGTTCAGCAAGTTGCTTTTCTGCTGCCTCACGGCTTCGTTTATCTGCCCCTCTTGACCAGCTCATTCGGTTTCTATTCACAAAAGATAAAGGATTAAGCTAACAAGGAAAGGAACCAGTCAGTATGCGATTGAGATAATTAGCACTTTCTGCAAGTTCCCTCCTTATGTCAACTCACCATTGCGTAACCATCAAGATGTAAAGTACACTACCACTCAAGATTTAAAGAACTACCACCACGTTATTTGGAATCGTTGTGTGTAGACAAAAAATTTAATCTGTTTTTCATGAATAAGAAATTCCCAAAATAATTTCGGATCAATGAACCATGAAAATGCTCAATTGAAACCTATCTCTTTATACATCCTGCTACCAAGATGCTATAGAGTGACAACTTCAGAATCTTTCAGAGGCGTAACGTAGAAACAAAATGTCAACTTTATTCAGGTAAGTGCACACTTTCAAAACCCTAACAGGTCCAACATTAGTACATACTAATTATTTTCAGTAGAAATTTAGTCGCAGTTTTACCCATCAATGACAAATAACCTTATAGGTTACCATTTTGCCGTAGAAAATAATCGATTCTAGACCTGGTATCTATTCATTTCGCAAAAAATGAAAAATCAATACCAATACTGCTTCAGGTGGAGCAAAATTGATTCTTGACCTGCAAACGTAAAGCAATACGAAAAATCAATATCCGACTCGATTTAATTCTGCTAATTTAATGACTCAAAGTTGAACTTGTAAATATCTAATTAGAAAATGATCCAGATGATCGTAATTTCAGATCCCCGTAAATTTACCACAGTTAATGAGGCGGGTTTTATATTTTGACCTAAATCTTAGAGAAGGGTGTAAATCCTTACAACCAATTATGGTCATCGGGTCAAACGGAAATGTTTATGTTATTGGCATAAATGCATTATGAACCATAGCTGGAAACGTAAACCATCAGCTGCACAAAAGCGCATGTAGGCACATAGCACATCGCTTCCTTTTTCACACCACAAGAACATAAAGAGCCAAAAAGGTGGAAATGTTAGAAAAATCAGTAATATATATTTACAAGATTACTTTTACACAGATGTGAACATGTGAAGATAAAATGTTAAATCAAAAATGAGGATATAAGTTGTGAGAATAGAAGAGTAAAAAGAAGAGATCAAATTTAGCAGGCGGTTGGTTCGACGACAGATTCTTCCTGGAGAGGAATATAGTGTCTTCGTCGAAAGTGGTACATTTGTGAGCAGATCTGAAATAGATTGAAGCCATCGTTAGATTTAAGTCTAAATTTGTAGCGGATGTTTTCTACTAATTCAGGTTTTGGTCGCCACTGTGATATCTCAAGCATATGTACCATTTAGGGACTTCAACAGACTAATTAAAGATATCATTATTGAAATACAAAATGAAAATACTTAATTAGTATTAACCAGAAGCTACTTAGCTAAGAGAAAAACACATGTGCAGAGGTGATGACTAAATTTTAAATTTGAGTTACATATCCACGAGCTCTAAAATTGAGAATATTGATCAGCATTCAGAAGCATCCTGTAGAGATTTGGTGAAACAAACTTTTCCTTACACCATTATATTTAAATATGCCAGCTTAGTAGCCATATTAGAGGTAATAATTAGAGCAAAAAGATGATTTACAATTGTAAAACAAACACAAATTAAGGGGGGGAGTGGGTTTAAACCAATCAAATTCTAAAGGAAATATAGATTGGCACTGTTAAACAATAGATTCATAACTGAAAGCCGAATTAAAATTCATATACTTCTTTGTCATTTCGAATAATAGAAAGAATGATGTCGAAATGATTATATTCAACCTCAACGTCTACACTGAAGCAATGATCCATTGGCAACCTGGTTCTATTACCACCTTCCACTCCATCCCCTTCACTGCCACCAAGATTGAACTAGTTCAGTGTGTTTCCTGTTCAGACAATTTCCAAGGAAAAGCGGACTTGCCATTAAGTTATGGAAACGAAACAAAATATGAAGAAGTCAGTGGTTTTTGCTGCAAAAAGAAGTTTGAGGTTACTTCATGTTAAAAAAACTCAAAATAGTTGCAGCTATCTATTCTTACCTGGAAGGAGATGGAAGTAAATCGACACGATAGGAATAAAAAATTTAAAAAAATTAACTTTGTGGAACTTTTAAGCACTGCGGCATTACATAATCAGCTAAGCACTTTTCGAGAAAGTGAATAAATCAATAAATCTGGAAATCAAACTAATTAAGATTCGAATTGCCTCAATTTCACTGACTATTCCACTGCTCAATCATCCACTTTCAACCTTTAAATAAACTATTGACAACTCCACGATGTCTTCAAAAGTTTGAAAGTTGAAGTTACATGCTCTAGAATGGGCAACAATAGAGGCTCTTCAGTGCAAAAATTTCTTCCCAGGTACCCACCGAAACAAATGTGGAGCACTTTCCATGACCAGTCAAACTTGGCATTTGGGAGGTTTTGTATGGGTCTAGTTTGACAGAAGTAAGCAAATTAAGTACGTGCCAGGAGAGGGCGCCGCTGGGTTCGTTATTTCTTGCAAGACTACCGTCCTGATTTCCGTGAGAATGCAACAAAAAAATAGGCCACCTCTCGAAGGCCTTTTAATGCGCACAATTCAGCAAGTAGTAAAGTATTCTATGCATAATGGCATGATTCACATACAAAGAGATCAAGAAGAACACAGCAAATAGCACCGAAAATCCAAGGCAGAGATCGGATGATGAAGACGCGATCGAGAGACGTGAGGAGAAGTTGAAGAGTGTAGGAAGTATTGCCACAAATTGCAAGAATGAAAGTAATTGGACTCAAGCCTTCTGTTGAACCTCGACGCCACTTCATATAAAAAAAAATTATGCAAACGGATTAGGACTTTGATATTTTGTTGATTGTCAGTGTGATATAAGAATTCGCATTTTCACGAGAAACTACAACACTGCGATTCGGTTCGAGGTACAAAATGCACTAAACTGGTACAATTTGAGGGATAAAAACGTAATTTTGTCCCCTAAAACGTCTTTCTTTTTTTAAATTAACATGATAAGAACCCAGACTTGAATGAGATATTTCAAGCATAAACTAAATGAACTGTGATCATTGCAGTACTTCGAATAAAAGTACAGCACGCTAAACTAAATGTTTTTCAGATGGAAAAACTTTCAGGATTCCTTTCTTTCTAGAAGCTCCCAATATTCATACCAAATTGGATTAGAATACCATCTAAGATGAACGAATGTCATGATTCATCAAATATAAAACTTATTTATAAACAGCTTCCAACTAGTGCCTCAAGAATACCGGTAAAATTGAAGCTTGAAAAAGGGAATTTATAAAAATAAGTTCACCACCGAAAAAGGGAAATACTTCCCCATACTAATTTGGGACGGTGGGATAACTTGTATTCGAACAACCCTCTCTCTAACTAAATCAGTTAGTTATAATTTTCGTCAAAGAAACAAACCGACGAACGACCTTAAATCCCAAAACCCAAGAGGTAAACGTCCCAAGACTAAAATTAGTCAAAACATATTCGTCGACAGACTGACCACCGTAATGTGAACTTCACAATCTAGTAATTAATATGTTCATCAAGTCTACCTCCAACGACTGGCCTTCACTAGAGAATCACAATGGCATTTGGCTATCTGTGACTAAAAAGATGATATGAGACTGAAATCCGTCGATAAACATATGGTTAAATAAAAATCAATCAAAATAAAAATACGCCGATTTTTCAACTTGTTTTCAGCTTATTAAGCCCATGATGTCAATAGTAAAGCATGGATAGGAACTCACGTTCTTAAGTATCTGCGAAACTCTTGAGGACAGGTAGATGCTGGTCGAAATCCAACCTAAGATGAAACCAATCAGAAGACCACTAGTCTAAAATGAAATACCCAAAACCACTAAATTTTCAGCTGTTGAAAAATAGAAATAATTCGAAAATACTCTGAATTACTGGAAATAACGAGTCAGGAATTGGTTTCGGAGTGGAAGTGGTCACAGCAGATAGAAGCTGACGCGTTATAAATGATGATGAGGAATGAGAAAATTCTGGATTTGCATCGCTTTCCAAGGTTGATAAAATAGGGCTGAAGAAACAAACAACTCCGAAAGTCAAGCAGAGTGCAACAGTGGATGAAGATCGAGTTGCAACTTGACCACTACCAACAGCGTCATCAGATGGAGTCACTTCAATGGGATTGGGGAGATCTAAATGAGAAAAAAATTAAGGAAATGGCAATACTATGCCATTAAAATAGAACAATGATTGCTCTTACTTCGCAGCATACGTTTGTGAATAAACTTATAATAGAGAAATTGTGAAATTTGAACGAAATCACTAGTTACCCCGATTCCTGCCATAATCACCTACAAATCAAAAAACGGCTCATTAGAAAAAGACAATTACCTAGATATAATTCCAAATTTTCATTTTTTTTCTAAGTCTACACGGAAAGTAAAACATAAAGTGTATTTTGGATTAATATTACGAAAAGATATTGCTACCTGAAGAGGAAGTTGGTGAACGAATATGCATCCAAGAAGATTAATTGCATCCCCCATTAGAAAGCAAATAAGCATAATTGGAGAAAGAGCTTGATCAGGAATACCTTTACGACAATTTTCGACGATCTGTGGGAATGCAAATACGATCCAAATGCATGCAGATATAAGACCGAATGAGACAGCAGTAATCTCCTTTGGAGTTACAGCACATTGACGAAAAACAATCCAAATCCATTGGATACCTTGAGTACAGTTATTGTCAATTGGAGTTGGGTCTACCAACGGAGACGACGAAATCGGAAGCATTGCGACTAAGTTAAATGTTAAAAAAGGGAACCTGTTTATTCTAAATCATGATTGAAACACGAGAAGATAGATCAAAATACATATTACATTCAAGAAAATAACTTGGATCTCTAATGAACGTACCGAATTCAAAATGAGTCGCATAAACAAGAAGGGGAGTCTAGATTACTTTAAAAACGCACATCGGCGGAGGAATGATCTAAACAAACAGAAGCTTATAGGTGAGATAGAAGGTAACACACTTCTGATTTATTAAAAAAGTTGTAAACCTAGAAATCAAATTTCTATTTCAAATTTTAAATAATAAATTTTTTCATCTATGCAGTTCTCCTTTCAATTTCGGTTAAAAATAAAATATACACACGACATAGTTTTGTATTATATAGAAACTTACATCGAAATAGCATTCTCGTATATCTATTTTAAATCTCGAAAACATCTCACGAAAATTGGTTCCCGATTTGAATTGGTCAAATTTTAAATAATAGGAGCTTTCGTCAGTTTGGCCAATTTACTTGCTATTTCTTTTTTTCCTTTAAGTAATAATTGGGAATATTGGTGGTATAAAATTCTATTGAATCTTTTCAAATATTTTGTTCGATTTTAATTGTCAATGTTTTTATTTTTGTTCAAAGATGTCTGAGGCACATAAAGACTCTGACAAAGAAAATGTTGCCGTCTACCCATACAATACGGAGACAAATGTGGGCGAAGCCGGTTACTTAAATCTTGTCCGACGCGTACTAACTGAGGGTGTTCTGAGAGACGACAGAACAGGTACTGGTACTTGGTCAATATTCGGTCCTCAGATGCGTTTTGATCTTCGCAACGGCCACTTTCCACTTCTAACTACTAAACAGGTTAATGCCAGCCTTTCCTGAGTTTTTTTGTCTGCATCAGCGCTTATTTTAATTTACCATATTTTTTAATCAGACATTCTTTAGGGGTATTCTTGAAGAACTACTGTGGTTCATTCGCGGATCAACTGATGCAAAAGAACTTTCAGCTAAAAAGGTGAAATTCTGGGATGCAAATGGTTCTCGTGCTTTTTTGGACCAGTTAGGCTTTACTGAGCGCGAAGAAGGTTCCTATTTCGGTTTCACTTTTTCTGTTGAATCGAGTTATCTTAATAACGCTGACTTTTTTATTTACAGGCGATTTGGGACCGGTGTATGGTTTTCAGTGGCGTCATAGTGGTGCGGATTATGTTGACTGTAAAACGGATTACACGGGTGAGGGTTTTGATCAATTATCTAATTGCATCAAGCTCATCCGTGAAAGGCCTTGGGATCGCCGTATTCTAATTGTTGCTTGGAATCCAAGAGGCAAGTTCGAATTAAGTCTACTGTTACTGCTATTTCTGAAAGCTGAAAAACTGCACAATTTAGTCTTTGTAAAAATATTGCCTTAAAATTCGATGGATTACCAACTTATGTTTGGCTTTCAATAGTGCATTACGGTAGCGTAATAAGAAAATTAGTTCTGATGCAGAGTAGAGACCATTACCCTTAACGCCTTCAAACTTTCTAAGTTGGGCAATCTTTAAGCCCACTTGGAGTCTTGCATTGAGGGCTTTATAGTAGGTGACCTCACTAGATGTCTTCTTTCCAGATCAATTCTAGATCGTTTCTTAGCCTTTCAATCCAATGGTGGGCTTGTTGGTATGAGTACTTGTTGTAGGTAGATGTGCATTTTCCTTTATTCTGTTATAACGAAGTAATAGTTCCTGTTTCCAATGCTATTTACCTTCATTGATCTTTTGAAACAGTTTTCCCAACCTTTTATTCTTGCAATGTTTTAGTTAGGATTTTCGAAAGAACGTGCCTTTGGTCATTTGTGTGGTTAGAGGTTTCCGACTTTGACCATCTATACGGTTTGAATTTTAAGGCATTAGCGCTCTTCTATTTTGATGATTTATTTTTGCTTTGGCTAGATTTCTTATCTCGTTTAATGGAGAAGAATATTGCTGTTTTTTAGATCTGCAGAAAATGGTTCTTCCACCATGTCATTGTTTGGTGCAATTCTACGTCGCAAACGGGGAACTTTCGTGCATGCTGTATCAACGATCTGGTGATATGGTAAGTCAGCCGATTAGATTTCTCTTGACGTCATAATGTGGACAGCCTTTCTCTGTCAACTAGATGAAGTTGAGTGGGGGATTCAATTTAGTGTCATTTTATTAAAAGACAATTCAACGCGTTTCCCTTTTCTGGCAAAAACCGAAGAGGCTGTTTGATTGGCTAAGACCACGCTGATTATTCCAATGCCATAGGCAATTAGACTTCTTTGCTGGTTTATGATTTGAACGAATAGTTGCCTTCTGTTTACATTTTACATCCACCCATGCCTTTCATTTCAGGGTCTGGGAGTACCTTTCAACATCGCCAGCTACTCTCTGCTCACCCTGATGATCGCCCATATCACAGGTCTGAAACCTGGGGAATTCATCCACACTATTGGTGACTGTCACGTCTATACAAATCACAAGGAGCCTCTTTTGCAACAGGTTTGTCACCTCGGTTTACTTTTTGAGTGTGTTTGAATGCCGATGTAATACCGTTGTTTCAACAACGTCTTCCCACTTAATGGGCTAATTAGCGTAGAGGCTGTCAAAAGTTCTTTCGAAAACCCTTATCTTCATTTATTTATGTTGAAATATGAGAGAGAGGGCCATTGTTTCAAACACTGGGTATTATCATAACTCTGAACCTATGATTCTAATTTGTAGTGGATTACTACACTAATAAGCCCTTGACTTACGCTCAATAATCTCCATAGCAAGATCTCTTGTTTTGTAAAGCCTCCATAGACTAGTTTTGCGGCAAACTATAGAGGGAATAGACGTATTACGTGCAACAGGTTTACTTGGGAAGTGTGTTACAGTGAGGGGGTTTAGTCATTTTAAAGCAGTGGGGAGGGGGCTTGCAAAATCAAGCAAGAGCTAATGATCAACGGCTGGCTGGGTGGTCACCGAGCTCTCTCGACCGCATTTACTCCTTTCGAGGCTTTCTGAGTGCGGATGAGATTCATTTGTTCAACGATGACAGCGTTGTGTGTGTGTGTTCCACAAGTTTTTTCTTAGGCGGCATGAAACACCTCTCATTCACCTTGGTTTAATTCACATCTTGATTGTTTGATTGAGATAGTAATTGCAATTCCTTTTTATGACTAATGTTGGGTTCCTCAGCGTGTGTTTTCTGTTTTAGCTCAAGAGGGAGCCAAAAGAATTCCCCAAACTGGTGATCAAACGAGAAGTGAAGGAAATTGATGATTTCGTTGCAGAGGATTTCGAACTGGTTGGCTATAATCCACATCCAAAGATTGCAATGGAAATGGCCGTCTAATGGTCACATTCAATCAGATCCATTTTTGCATTTCTATTTCAGTAAATCATATCAGGATAGTGTGTGTTTAACGCATTTTGATAAGACATTGCCAATATTTTTGTTAACAATTGATAATATACTTGTGAGTCATTATATCCTGTTATCTGGTTTTTGAAGGCACTTATTGGCGCTTTGTGTCAATAGGCGGAGGATTACCAAAGGGAATGGACGTTGAGTTGTTGTAGAATAAAGCAATCTGGTTTAACTTGTTATTAATTGAGGAATGAGTAAACGATATAAGAATACCTTTAGGCAAAATGGTTTTTAAATTTAAATAAAAAACTTGTCCAGGCACTGGTAATTTCATAATTAGCAAAGAATCGTTTTTTTAATGTTTTGGATGAGCACCAAGTAGTTGTTGAAGAAACTTCATTTATGTGTTTCCCCGAGAATCTGCGGATGGCATTCAACCGCTTCTGGAATCTTCGAATTCTGTGGATTGGCACACGAACAAGCCTGGACAAATCCACAGCAATCTCAATTACAAAGTAGACTAGTGTGGGCAGGCTCCCGAAGCTAGTTAAGCTACTTTCACGAAGCAGACGTGGGTGTTTATTTTGGATGTGAGTCATGAACACGGAGCTTTGTCAGGAATTTACAAACTTTGGCTACTTTGACCACGCCGTGACAATCGGTTACATTTTTGCTGAGAGGCGTCGGGGCTCACGAGCGCACATAATCCCTAACGGAATCAGCATCCCTCCTCACATTCAAGAATTTTTTGAGCGCTGAGTTTAACAGTGTTAAGTTTGGGTACTCCTCAGATCTCAAATTTGGCAATAACCCTAAAGTGGTACCATGCACTAAAATAGGTTAAGACCATAGATAGCAGTTAAGGATTAAATAAACCGACAGTTGAAAGTGGTGATATCTGGGATCTGTTATTTCGCAATGAAGCAGAATTTTTAATAACTACTCAAATATACCTGACAGAGAAGTTATTGTTTGTAATCAAGAATGAGTCTATTTACGTTAACTTTAAAGTTCCCCCTCGGGCAGATTTCCCTTTCTATTGTCTACATCCCAGTTTAACCCTTTAACGTCAGAATTTTTTTGCAAAATACACCGATGTGATGAGTTTTGGTGGGGTATCAGGCGAAGGCTATAGACACGTATTTAACAAGTTTCAAACGTCAATAATGCCTTCTGCTACGAGTCTAGCACCAAAGGAGGTTATTTCGAAAGAGGACCGCGTACAGTCCTACAGGGCGTTAGAATGTTAGGTCTATTGCTAGTAATTTGCTTGAGAAATGACCAACACCACAAAATTTGGTCCAACGAGACTCAGTCTAGAATGTGGGAAAGCACAATTGAGGAAGTGCAGTCGGGTGTGCAGTGACCTCTCAGACAAATGACATCCACTAGTCGTCACAGGGTGACGTACTACCAGTTTAAGTTAATTGCTAAGCTTTGTGGCAGTTGACTATATTTGTAATATACGTTATTCACTCCATACGCTCTGTGTCCTCGACACTGTTGACATGGCTAAACTAATTTGGGAAATGCTTTTCTACGGGAAAGAATGGTAATTTTTAATTAACACCCCTCGACATTTTGTGAATTTGATGTTCCTCTCCTCTGTGAAGCCAGAAGTCAACTAAGAGGTGGTAAATGATAACTATCATAATGACTGCCATTTGATATTTTGATATTTGATTTTAATTTCTTTTATAAAATAATGTCTCCAAACTCACAACCGAATTACTATTATCTTGCTGTGTATAACACCTCAGGTTCTATTTTGAAAGAAGCAGCAATAACAAGGAGTTTTGGTAATTACAATTCACTGGATATACTTCCAAATGTTAAGCCTATTCAGTGTCTATTCATTGCCTGCAACGAAGTCCTTAAGTAAAAGATGGGAATCATTGGTGCCAGCTTGATGCTTTAACCAAAATAATCATTAAAAGTTGGAAATGGTGCCAACTCTGGTGAAATGCGGGTTGAATCACTATTCAGTGAATGAAGCACCCCTGCACCGAGAATTTTCAGGGTAAATGTCCGTTTGGCGAGCTCTTTTGATGGTTATTTTGATTATCACTCTTTGTCACTAATATAAATTCCACATCTATTGGATTGCACTAAAATCGCTAATCGCTTTCCATTTTTCATGCTGAAACTGTCGACCTCACTTCGAACGCAATGCATCGGCATATGACTATGTGGTGTGCTTGGCCTAAGTCTGGGTCAACTGAGTACAGTCCCCTAATAGCTCTGTGTTTGAGTGAATTGGATAGAAAAACACCTTTACTCAAAATTAGACCAAAGTTGCATTCACCAAATTTATGTCAACAGTGAATAGCTATGAATGTTACTTTTAACCCAAATTCACGGCTAACAAGGGAACCTTGTCCTCTAGTAAATAATAATTTTTGATTTCGTATTTGGGGAGAAGGTTGATTTACATCCCGAAAATTTACTTACAATAATTCATAATTCTCAACAAACATGGAACTTAATTATTTAAGTTCATTTAAAAAGATTTCCGGTTGGAACTATCGTCTACTAAATGGGTTATAAGTCGTGGATGCAGTCTATGAATAAATAATAGAGTAATTTCTGATTTCGTTTTCCAAACACAGATTTATTCAAAGACTTTTGAGCGAGAAATATAATTAACAATAAAATAGGCTTAACGTGACTCAGTTAGAAACTGCGATTTACGAATTATTAGGCAGCACAAACAAATCCGACGATCTAAAATCAAGCTGCAAGATGATCATAACCATTGCATATCATTTGCAAATACTGCTGTGCTAGCATTCAAGAGTAAGTTCCAAGACTTTAATCTTGACGAAGTTCCAGCACAAATCAATTGAGGATAAAAATTCAGATCCACACCTTCAATGAAGTAACAACTGTAAAAACACGTTTAGGACATGCTTTTCCGATTTTGAATCAGAGTAAAATAATAAAATGAAATGAATTATCGGTCAATAATTATACTCTTAAAAAGTAAACGTCCAGAAAAAGAATAAATGGGTTTAAACTATTTCCTTTGTGTTGAACCTTATGTTATGTCATAATAATGATTTACAATCAATGAAATGTATGAAATGCAAAAATTTTTTAATTAACTTACAGTGTATATTCTAATTGTACTTTTACTGTAATCGATAAGCTTTGTTTTAATCATCTTCACTGGGCGCAATTGTTTGATCTCACGATGGCTAGTGGATATCAACATTTAAAAGCTACTCTGTCCCCCGATTTTAAAGCTAATAATCGTGATGCATTAATTTGGGACCCGCTTAAGCTACCGGCGGATTACTGCTTAACGCCGGGTGCTCAAGCTCGTGTTCGAACTGATTTAAGGCGTTTTTACCAGTAAGTTGTATTTTATAAATGACAAAACTAGAGATCCACCGGTTGGAATCGTAGTGTCTCCCATTCCGGAACAATTTGGTAGATTATATGCTGCAATTAGTGGTCCTCCGGATACTCCCTATGAAGGTGGATTTTTCCTGTTCTATATCGCGTTTTCTCACGATTATCCTCTCTCTCCACCTAAAGTTCGTTTGCTAAATACGGGCAATGGCTCAGTTCGTTTTGGACCGAATCTCTACGCTAACGGCAAAGTAAACTCTCACATTTTAAACTGAATTTTTTAGGTATGTCTTAGCATCCTTGGAACTTGGTCCGGCCCACAATGGACTCCAACCCAGTGCTTAACTTCCGTTCTTCTCTCTATTCAATCTTTAATGAATGAAGAGCCTTACTACAATGAACCTGGCTTCGAAAATCAAGTGAATCAAGCAGCTTCCAAAAATTACAACGAGGCTATCAGGCACGAGACTCTTCGTTGTGCTGTTTGTGATGTGGTTGAGCGGCGGTTTGAGTATCCCGATGATATCTATGACATCATTAAAACAACCTTCCTTGAACAGTACAGTGACTACATCGATGTTTGTGATAGTAACTGTTCGAAAGACGGTTCGCCAATGTATGGCCACAGCTATGCTACGCAAACCTCTCTATTCCAATTTAAGAAAACGAAAACTCGTCTAGAGGCATTGAAGTCTAGTCTAAGTTAGGTATTCAGAACTCCTCACTCTGCCTTCCAATTTAGTGCTTCTGTAAATTTATGTTGCCTTTTGTCAAATTTATTGCCCTTTATATTAACATGAAGTATTTTATATCGCAATTCCTTTCCTTTTTGGTTGATTTCATTGATATGATTTTTCTTCGTCCATTTGAGCAGTGTTTGACTAAAAGCTCTGAGTTGTGTTCGAAGTTTTCTTAATTTCATTATTTTAATATTGCAATATGAATTGACTTGAATTCGAGAGGGTGCAGATTTTTATGAACTTTATAATTCAAGGATAACTTGTATCTTGGACTGCTTCTACTTCATCTAGTATGGCATGCAGGTGTTTATTAGACTGGTCGGTAATATTTAAAGCAATAAATGCTTCGGGGGGTAAAGACTTTCTATATCCACCAGGAGGAGTTGAGGGAAGATGTGTTAATTGAGTTCTACGAACTCATTGATCAATTAACTGTTGCCAATTGGCTGCCCACAGTGAATGCTTGTCAAACTCTTCTTATACTCGCTGCTTTAACTGTTTCAGAATTGAAAGTGATATTTTTACCCGTATAAACCAATTTCCGAAAATATGCAAATGAAACTCAATATGACTGAGTATGGGTTGGCAGACTAAGATTTTAGGCGCCTTCACGGCCAATATTAGTTCGAAATAAGTGACTGCCCAGAGTTGGCCTCTTTCGGAAGAACCTTTCCTCCTCCATCGTTGTGTATTGGTGGCGTAGGGGTGTTAGAGCTTGCGATATTGGTGGTTATAGCCATGCTTTTAGTGAGCGTGAATTCTCCCTTCACAGTGACTGTGGAATGGAATAATTATAATTATCTGATTCCCTGCTAGTTCTGTGAGTCTTTATTTAACCATTACCAAGTTTCAGGCGTTGTATCTATCCTACTAACTTGGAGTTTAAAAAAGCGACTGTAGAATTTGTCATTAATACGACAGCACATAGCTATCAGATCATGAAAGAAATGTAAGAAGACCTCCATATCATTGCACCGCGTGGTCTCACCCTGAAAGGTCGGCACGACTATTTCTCATGGGAGGGTAAATATCTTCTAGAGATGAAAATAATTAGATTATAGTGACCTGTCGTGTTCTGACCGCTTGAACTCTTATGCCTATTCTTGAAAGCGCTTTCCAACATTCATCTCGATTGAGGGGGTAGCATTTTTTGTCATCGGTGAGAAACTAGAATCCCCATCCACGCTTTCGACTTATGATTAGTTACTTCAACCCAGAAAAAAACGATACGCCACAAGGTTAAATTTTTCGGCGTTCTTATTTCCCAGCATCGTTTAACTGGCAAACTTGCGATCAGCTCTACTTTTCTACATCGGTTTATCGTTTCATTAACAAAACACGATTAGTTCATTTTAATCAAAAGAATTATACACCTCCCAACAGACAGCTACGTCAAAAGTACTCGAATTTTGGTGATAATCAATCCACACGCTTTGTCTAAAGATTGCCGTGGGTATTTTACTAGAGAAAATAGCTAAAGTTTACTCCATTCCTGTTTGAGTAGTATCTTCTAAAGCAGTTACAAATTTATTTCGACATATTTATTTATTTAAATCAAATGACAGATTTAATGATAGTTAGTATTATCCCATTTGTTGACTTCCGGCTTCGCAGAGGGGAAGGAGATCAAAATGGGAAAAATTCGAGAGGGGGATGATGAGTTGTCGAAGATTTGAGCCCAAAACCCCATGAAAGAGAGGCAAGTTTTTGTCCCGCATAAGTTGTCTGGGTGTGTGTGTGCGCGTTGATACGCGCCTGACGGCCAAATTACCGACAAGCCGTTGGAATTGACAATTCCGTCACAAAACAGCAACTAGACAACGCGAACTTTGTCTTAAGGGTACCCTAGCTCTAGTTGTGTAACAACAATGCGCCCAAAAAACACAACTACTGCATGTTACCAAGACACACGCCATATTACAAATATAAAGGAAAGAAACCCCAAAAATGAAATATAGTAAATTTTTTTAGTAAGCGTAAAAAAGGACCGTCTAACGAGGAAAAGAGAAGGTGAAGGCGATTAGAAGAGAAGGAAGCGAATAAAACGCCACTACCACCAACTCCTAGTCTGTTTTCGATTTCTCCACCTTTCGCCGCAAAGTGGAGAGGATACGTTTAATCCTCTCAATCAGCCGAACAACTGGTGGTCTATCCACCTCGTCCTCATCCCCTTGAGCGATAGCTGGTAGCAGCGGTGATGTGGTGAGTTTATGGATTGCTCCAAAGAGAAGAGCCACAACTGAGCACACCAAACAAAGCGCGTTGAAGGGCATACTGAAATCAGGTACTGGAAGGCGAATTAGAGGGGTCTCTGAGTAGAGCCGCACAAAACCATCTCCTAGCCTATTTTCTGGGAAAGACCCATTGCCGCTCCGGCTGAAAAGAGGTGGGATATAGGTTAAAAGGAGAAAAAAAGCAGATGATTAACGCTGTTTGGTTTATTTTATAAACTAAAACTGACAGTTAATTGGTTGAAGTAATGTACTAATGTGACTCAACTTTGACCAAACCAGAGTAGGCGCAATAGTAGGCATTGGCAATACACTTGGATAAAAAAAAATCTCGACACTTTTAAAAGAGCACAATCCAATGCTGGAAATTCGTACAGGCATCTCTGGCTTCAACAGATCAAAGAATTTCACCTCCAATTAGATCCTCACGATTCCCTTCAACATTTTTTTCTAAGAACTATGATAGGGTCTTCTGGAAGAAAGTTTATCGAAAGGCCATCAGAATTCAAAAGGGCCTCAAATAGTAGGGGGGGGGGGTTAACAAGAAATGAGATTACCAAATTGTGAGTTAATTCCAATAGTTAGTAGCATAACAATAGACATCCAATCCTGCGTCGAACGGAACACTAGGAGTTGTGTGCAGACCTAAGTTGACAGTTGAGTAAAAGATTGTGTGTACTTAAAATTGGCAATTCGTGAGAAAATATTCATAAGTATACTTGTTAAGTACATTTCATTAAGAAAGGGTTAGCTAATATGCGCATAAATTAGAATGATTTGGACAGAGAGGTGCAATGCTTCAAATATTGTGTTTACCGAATAGGATGCGTAAATAGTTTATTTCTATTGGAGGAGAGCTCTCGAGACCAATTGACAACGATCGAATCAATCAATTCTAATGAATGGAGATTTCAGCTCTCTTGATAATTTATTGTCATGCATTTAAGAATGCTAGAAGAATACTAACAGCTAAAATTGAACGAATTTAGAGAATGAGTGGGCGTACCACTCACGGCTTAATTTTAGGCGAGGTTGTGGGTGGAATAAGTTAATACTCACGACCTTGACACCAACTGAAATTTTTTAAGAATGCTCTTAAGTACCCCCGCTTTACAAATCCTGCAAAAAAGCTACATTTCGTTTGAATATCCGATTTTGACATCCCCACAGCCTCGTAGATTTCTCAAGCAAAATAATAGGAAAATTGAGAACTGTTGTTAGTATCCCCGAGTAATTGAATTAACTACTTTCATCACACTATTAAGCCTTAAAAGGACTTGTCAAAATAGAATAAAAAGAGAACAATAGAAAAAACATCCAAATCTCAATGAAGGTCAAATTTGGTACAACACTTACAGAAACTCGGCATAAGTGCTGGCCCAGAGAGGAAGAGCGATTTCCCAAGTAGCAGGACTGCTACTAGCCCGCTGCCGATTGAGCTGCTCAGGAGTGAGTTGATAGATCAAGGAGGCAGCGGGTAAGTAGATACCATGATTTGCATCGGGAAGGTACTCATTCCAGTGCATGAGGATTTTCTTGAAGGCGTAGGACACGATGACACATTTTCGTGATGGCAGTTTCAAAAGGAGTTCAAGGAGTGACATGCGTTTACGATGAACACTGGGAGTGAACATCACCTTGTCTATAAAGTGGTGAATGCATAAATTGAAATTATTGATGCTTGAATAAGCAACGAGAATGGCAAGGGAAGTTGTAAAAGCCTAAGAATATCAGGCCCAGTACGAAGACGTGTACAAACATGTTCTAAAAAGAACAGTCCAGTCAAAATTCTGTCAGTAGACCTTGAAGACAATTAGTGGAAGAGGTGAGAAAATGGATAGTAATTCAAATTCTAACCGAAAATTTACTGATCGAATGTGTAGAAAGACAGACTAACACCATAATCACTCCTCTTTCTAAATAATGTATTTTTGGAAAATGTCATCTAGAGTCACGGATTATGCCATTATTTTTTCCGTGTTCTGGCAAGGATTTTGTGGTAGAGTTCACGCAGAGCGGTAAGGTATGCCACTATTGCCGAGTAAATTCAAACTATGCTATTTGAAGGTATTTGAAAACACATGTCAGGCATTATGTAGAAATGACTACATCGTTGGAGCAACACTCAAACAGGAATAACGCTCTTTTAACAAGGGGGGTGTTCGATAGATTTACCTCCACGTGGTGCACCCTGGGCAACGTATACTCACACGGCAAAAAAGTCTATTAACCGACAGTTGACTTCTGACTTCAAACTACCATGATCCACAGTCCTCACCTTACCCTACTCTCTACCTTTGTGTCTGTCTGTCTGTCTCTTACATATGGGAATCACTCTTCTGTTCCCCCCCCCCCTCTCGACCTTTTTTCACTTTGATGTTCCTCCTCCTCTCTGTGAAGCCTGAAGTCAACTAAAGGGCTAATGATAACACTATCAAAACGCCTGCCATTTGAAATAAATAAATAAATATACACTCTTTTAACAGCTCGGATTTTCAAAGAAAACTAGAGAAATAACGGTAAAGGGCCTATTCATCATAAATACATCGAAAGAAAACAAGTATAATTTAAATTGAAGAAAGATTGTAAGTATCTTAATATTAAGAATTAAGAAGCCCAAACACATGAGTCAAAAAATGCTGCATGAAAAAAATAACTTCTAGTAGCCTGAATAAAAGAAACAAATGTGAAAAAGTGGCTACATTAGAACTTGTTGCTGAGCCCTCCCCCCCACACACATGTTTTTCATTATATGATCAACCACTGAAGTAGATTAACCGGTCAACGACATCCAAATATTGTGCTCATAATCTCAACCACGAAACTGTGAGTTAAGTCATTAAATTTGAGCATTCAGATTTTACATAATAAACTGTAATCCTTATGAGAAGTTGGACGACGTCATTAGTTCAGAATTGAAATCGAGACACCCTAAATACCCCCCAGCTTCTCATTCCTTAATGACCCCCAGCATATAAATAAAGCATACTTCTCAAAACAACAATTTATTAACTGGCATTTTAAGTTACCTGGTATTACAGCCACTGGAGATTCACTGCCATAAACACTTTCCGTGACGAGCAGACTACTGAAAAGCATTTCAGCGTGCCAGGGAGCAGAATCTAGGAGCACGGCAAGCACCGGGAAATTAAGGTTATTGCAGAGTTCAATCTTAACACCTCCATCAATATCGCCCTTTCCTGTGGCATATTTCATAATTGAGATACTGTCTTGGCTAATAGTTGCCATATGCAATTTCTTGCTATCTGGCAATGACGTAATAATGAGATCATTCCCGTAGTGATTGGAAGGAGAATAGACAGTCAAAACACGACTTCTGTCCCAGCTGTTCAATGAAGATGGCTCAATTTGTGGATTTAAATCAAGATCTGTCTGAGATCTTAAAATGACGATTTCGCTTCGATCAGCAACCTGACAAGGCTTCGAGATTTTTCCGCCAAGAAGACCGGTTAGTGACCAGGGTTCTACAAAGTTATCGATTACTTAACAAGATAATTTCTTACCATTGATTGAAGCAAATAGGTGGCGTCGATTGAACACATAAGTTAATGACTGTCTAAGTTCCAAAGAAGCATGCTTGCAATTAGAATCCAGGCAAACCTTGCGGGAGCCAATGGAAAGAGCATTGTAAGATGCTTTGAACAGTGACTGTGGCTTTAACAAACTGGCAAGTCCACTGAATTTCTTGCAAGGAAGCAACTTTGTAAAAGGAGTGAGATTTTCGGTACAAAGTTCTTCGTGGGGCAATTGAGCATAGCGGAAAACCCTTGAAACATTTTTCGAGTTTATGTTACCGGTCAGCCCCGAGGGACGATAAGATAGGGAGGGTGAAATGTAATTTTTCGGGAGACCAAGTTGTTTCAGCGATGCACAAAAGTGACCAGAAAGGGCCTCAAGAAAATAAGCCCACGATTTATCAACACTAAATAGCTAAACTACACTTATAACAGCAATTACTTGGATGTTTGCGGTGAAAACCAGGCCCATATTTCTGAACCACCAGAAGAAATGGCCATAAAAGGAGGTCCCCACTTTTGTCTATCCCAAAAACCCTGAACCATTGAAAAATGAAACTCCTCAACATTGTATTTCTTCAGTGTAGAATGTAGCGACTTAGGAAATATGTGAAAATTAAAGTCTATATTACTATAAAAGGATATATGTACGAAGTTACCATCATCAATAGATTTCCGAGTTATGAAGTTAAAATGCAATCCAGAGTATCCGTTTCCAAAATCTTTTACGAGTAATTCTTCTTCAAAATGGTCACAACTTACAGAGATTAGTAAAAACGCTAAAAGTACAAAAACTCTCCACATCTAGTCCTGGGCACCTTTTCAACCTTGATTTTAGTGAGCGTTTCCTAAATTAGAGTTTTATGATAGGCCTGTAATTTATTAAAGTAATAAAATATTATTAATTCAAATATATATTTTAAAACCAAAAATGTTTTGTAAAATTATATAGCTTTTTGATCTTATTATTTTTATTACTTGTTTAGCCCAAACGAGGTCTTTGCCAAACTTTCGTCATGAGCACCGCGACAGGTGATGCCCCTCAAAGCGAAGTTACACGTCAGAGCCCAACAAATGATCCAAATAAGATAATGGTACTTTTCAAAGCTGTCGGAGATGCACCCGTTTTGGCTAAAAAAAGGCTTGCTATTGACAGGTCGCAAACCGTTGCATCTCTGGTAAATTATCTTCGTAAGAAACTTCGCATGGGTCCCAACGAAAATATGTTTGTCTTTGTTTCCTCAAGTTTTACTCCTTCTCTTGATACCGATCTCGGTACAATTTTTGATTGCTTTTCCACTGATGGAATACTTTTTATTCAGTATTGTACTACCATAGCTTGGGGTTAGATAACTTACTTTTTTACATTTTTTGATGTATATTTATTAACAGAAAAGAATATTTCTTCATTTTCCTTGTCTTTTTGTTGTATATGGAATAAAGACCTATTATTTTTAATGCGCTTATATTGCATGCCTTGCCTGAAGTATGCAGTCAAATTGTGGCTCTCCTGGGTTAGGTAAGGTGATATTCATTAGATGACTTCGTAGGTAAAAGTCTTTTGAGAGACTTTCTCTATCCTGCTATAAGTATCTGTCTTCTGCAGTTAAAAGCTTATCCTAATGAAGCTTTTAAATCAGCATATGTATTTGGAACCCCTGTTAAGGTATGATACGGATGTTAGGTATTAAGAGAATCTCTTCGTTTTAGGTCCTTAGAGTTCAGAGTGTGCGTTCATATGTGACGAGGATTCTTGACTCCTTGCAATTATCCGTTGCAGGACAGCAAGAGATTGTTCTTCGTTATCGTTGTTCCGATAATGAAGATTACTCCGATATTGTTTTTCGTTTTCAGTCAACGACTTTATCCTCAGAGTATGTTAATTATCAGTTTAGTTTAAATAAGTACTTGGGTTGTCTTCACTGAAATCCATTCAACTCATCCAGTGAAGACATTAAAGCAGACAAGTGGAAAGAGGAATTTGGGTTGGTACTTGGTAAGCTGTGGATCCGACCTCCTCCTATTTCTGCAAGCAGTAGCTTATCATGGGCTCTTCTGGTTCGAAATTGGTTTCAAGTACGTCGAATTTTCATAATTTTACCTCAATGCGTTAATATATAAAAAAGATATTTTCGCAGTACCTAATTGTGTCTTATTAGGGTGGAATTATTCGTAACCTCTAACCATGAGAAGAACCAAAGAAATCGTAAAATCGTTAGTGATTATGATAGTGGGACTAAAGAAAAATCATTTTATTTAATTACCTGCTTTAAAGTCGTCTGCGATTTCACCCTCCCTCTCCAGTTATTGCTACATTCGATGGAATTTCATTTTGCCGACCTCCACGTAGCACTGATCCTGAAAAAACGGCCAATTTAAGTGTCCGATCACTTTAGACTTATAAAATATTTATCTTTTAAGGGGCTGATTGAGTTCAACAGTTTTCCTTTTTCATTAAGGCTAGAAATGGACTACTAAGTTGGGCGATTTAAGGGTTTTGAGATATGTATGAAGTTGAGCCTATTTGGGATTGATTTGACCTGATTTATTTACCACAGTTGGGTCAAGCACACCTCCTAGTTTCGAATACTACATGTTGATTGATCTAGCTTGATGTTCGTGGTCTCTATGGTATATCTAAGTCAAGTTGAAGGCTGGGTCATCGTGTACGCTCTATAACGTATTTTGACTAACAGCAGCCATATAACTCTGTGATTATCATCTCTGCAGCTAATTATAAAGTTGGTGATCAATTCGCTAATGCCTTTTCATTTGCATTAGATACGATTGCATCAAGTGTCGATTTTCCACATGAATTTGATAATAAATAATGCCAATTATTGAACCATATTTATTCTACTCACTGACCCCCCCCCCATTTAGGTTTCATAATTATTGTTTCAGCATTTGAGATTTAAAAAAATATAGGGAGAATGACGGTTTGAGGAGAATTTCATATTGCAGTAACACTGAAGTCGGTGTAGGTCTTGAGAATCTTCCTTCGGCTCTTCAGAAATGGCCCTTCTAATTTGTGGAAATGACTTACTAAGTTTTTCTTACATTGAGTAGTTATGTTTATCAACTGGGACCTATAATTAGTATACTTCATTGAACTTCATTAATTAAGTCGCTCCCAAGTACACCAGAAGGTATTAGTTGATATACCATAAGGAACTGCTGACATTCTTGTATTGTTGCCTGGATGATTTTCCCTACATTACCTACTTATAATACTTCAGTAGACATGTTCTCTTTTTTCAGTCTGATACACAGTTCTCCTTCAGAGACCTTTTTGACACAGAAATGCAAACTTCTTCCTCACGAACATGTCTACCCGTCTATTCAATGAATCGATACAGCCTTAATGTACGTCTTAATATATACACTCACCAACATAAAGTGATAGATTTAAATGCTTTCTTCCTTACAGCTTCAGGTTCTTTACATCTTCCCCAAGTTGCAACCTAACTGATTCCAGAAAAACAACCTTAATAAAACAAAACATTTTTTAACAAGATTTTATTTTTTTGATACAAATAGCAGAGCTTTTACAGAGTGGAGTGGGATTTGGTGGGCAATATTTAGCCGGACTAAAGAAAGAAAAAAAACATGTTTAAATAGAAATCATCCTGTGATTAAATGAAAATATTTACTAAGTTAATTAAAATACCATAGAGTTAGAGAGGGCGTTGTAATGATCCGGGGCTGTACAGTCTAGCTTACTATGAGAAGATAAGTCATTATAAGGCTAATCTTGCTCTATAACTAGATAATACAACGAGTTGACAGGACTCACATGACTTAATCGCATTTTACTCTTGTTCATAATCTTCGCTTTCTTCATTTCCGAGGCATTTTAGGACGTCGTTGAGGATACTTGTGACTGCATCCATTTGGATAGGCGTTGTCAGAAATCGCGGAAGTAAGATACTTTGAAAGGGGTCATCTTTTCTCTTCGGGTTTATGAGAGTATCTTCCTCAAGACTGCACATTTTTCCGTTGGGCATCAGAACACTCAACTCATCTTTCATGGGAAAGTTGAGAATTAATTCAGTCTTGTCATCTTTGGTCACCTTATTGATGAAAAAGTGCTTGAAATTGGGTAGATAGTAGATACCAAAGTTAGGACCGGGGTTCTCCCACGAACAAAGGAAGGAGGGATGATTGACGAGGGAGATAATGTCACCTCCACTAGACTTACTCGGTGGGACAACTATCACAGGTTGATTTAAGCCATGCTCACACCAATATTTTGCCAAATCAAGAACCATTTGAGCATGGCGTCTTGGCACCCTCAAACAGACAAATTTAAACTCATCGGAATCGGTGTTTACTGAAATAAAAAAATTTAGCTTGAAATGCAAGGCTAGGGTAACAGTTGAAATGGGGAGAGGGAGGGAGGGAATGAATTACGCGATTTATTTTCATTATTGTTTGAGTGGAAAGGAATTCTATCACCTTTTCTGAGGGATTTGTCATCAGTGTAATATTTCTGCATCAAAATACCGGTCGTAAGCTTGAGATTCGCTCTCGCTTTGCTACTCATTTTAGGTAAATATTTTTCAATCTGTAAGAGGTCGCCAAAAAAAAGAAGAAATAAAGATAAAACATTGCCAAAACACAACCAACAGAGTGTTTAAAATTACAAAGTAAGGTTAGGGGAAATCAGCACTTACCTCTTGCCATTCGTTTTGAAAGTTTAGAAAATTGCAAGTGTACTTAACCCTCCAAAACGCTCTTCCATAAGAGCCCTCATCTGGCATTTCAGCACAAAAAGTCAACTTATCAGTTAGTTTAACGGGTGGATTTTTTTCTTCCACGAAAAGCTCGTAGAGTTCCTTGCGATTTTGCTCCTCGTCAGCTACGCGCACAATGGAGGTTAATGGATTATTGTTAAACGAGGATTGGAGATCCTTGAAAGGAAATGCAAAGGACAAAAAATTGGAGAGGGGGGGGGGGGAATTTTGAAAGAAATTATAAAATTTAATTGTGAGTAGATACGAACTTGCTGGTATTTGTCATTTTGCACATGAAAGAAAGATCCTGAATTGCCGTCCTAAAGGGGAAGAAATATGGTAAAGTGGATTGAAAAAATAGCACATAGATTAAGTAGACAAGGAGATGGTGTGTGTATTTAAGTAAAGTAAAATAGTCCTTAGAAATTGACTTACACTTAAGATCATTGTGTGGGAATTTCACTTAGGTGTATAGAGATGCCAACAAACAGGGAAATATTGAAATTAGGAGAATTGAACTCAAGTGAACATAATTAAATTAAAGCCAAGGTTGTGTATGGTCGTATGACATCCATTTTGATTGGTTAAAATTGATTAGTAAACTTATCTCAACTGTTGCTTATTCACAGCGGCTCTTGACATACAAATTGCATTTGGAAACGGGAATGAAAATTTAAAAAAAACGGGGAACTTCTCAGACCCTATCAGTTTTAATCCCCTTTAATTCTAAAAATATCTTATCAAACTTTCCTCCTTTACCACGTCTGATAAATTGTGAGTACTTAAAGATCCCAATTTAGCTGTTTTTAGATGTGTGGGACAAGTCATCGCATGCCTGCACGCCAGGATTGGGAGGTGCGACCGTACAAACAGTGAACAATCATTAATCTGTGTTTGTTTAACCTAATCCGCCATCCTGATCATGAGTAAGCTTCCTGCATGCACACTTTATCCGCGATATACGTACTGAATAAACGTGCTCCGTGCTACACGTCTTTCCTTTATAGCTGGGCTATAGATTAGCTGATTCTGGGAGTCTAGCTAGATGTTGGAGACTCTACCATAGAGATTTCTGAGTCAGTCTGGCTTAACTAAGGTAGCAATCCGCTACAGATGCAGTTAGAATTGCCTAAATTACTCTCTTTTGCAGCCGTACATTATACAAAAACCTGACCACTCAAAATTTGAATATTTTTTTTTAAATGAAGAAAAAAATGGTAAAGAATAATGTCACTTTTTGACGTCCTGATCTTATTTTTCCGAGTTTTTAATCCATAGGCCGGAATTAGGTTACCAAGTCAGGTTTCATTCAATTGAAGTGGTCTTCACCGTAGAAGCCCTGAAGATTATCACATCTTGAGATAATCCAATCTTTTATCATACCGTTCTATTTAACATCCGTAACTTTAAGAAGTAATAAAAGAAACTATATGCTTGAAACTATACTCAAAAGTCCATCATGTGCTCTCTTGAAATGTTGAAACATAGTTACTCCATTCAGAGCACAACTGAAAGAGAGGTCCTGGTAGCGTTCCTCCTGGACAAACGCACCCTTGTTTTTCAAACGCCATTCATTTCAATCAATGTCAGCGTGACACAACACTGTGCATAGTATTCAATACAGCCTATCAATGAATTTTTCAAATTAATTCCATTCTTGAATCCAATTAATTCATGGAACTATATTTTACTCTAAATCAGCACTTTATTGAGATTACTGAATATATACCACACTTTTGTAATAGTTTATATTTTCTATTCCGGGGTGTGCGATAGACTTACCTTCACGTGGTGCACCCTGGGCAACGTATACTCATACGGCCGAAAAGTCTATCAACTGGCAGTTGACCTCTGACTTCAAACTACCATGACCACACTGTATGTCATATTCGACCCCTTCACTGTACTCATCTTACCTTTTCTCTGCCTTTGTGTCTGGCTGTCTCTTTTACATATGGGAATCACTCTTCTGTTCCCCCCTCTGGACGTTTTTTCACTTTGATGTTTTTTCCCCTCTGTGAAGCCTGAAGTCAACTGAAGGGCTAATGATAACCATCAAAACGCCTGCCATTTGTTAAAAATAAATATTTTCTATTCCAATGCTATAAACACAACTCTGACCGAATCCAATATTAAGCAAAATACTCAAGGAAAAAAAGGAGATCGTAATGACATAACGACTGAGTGACGCTCCCATCTGGGGACAAAGGTATCCAAATCCTGCTCTTTTTTATAGAAAAATAAAGCAGACACTCGTTGATCATTCGAAGTCATTCCTTATCTTCATGTTGAAATAGGAAAATTTCTGACACTCATGGCGCCCCTTTCATACACCCTTACTTGTTAAAAATACTGATTGAATGATAAAAGTGAGACCATTTAACCCATTAACGCCCTGCAAGACCGTACAGTCCTCTTTCAAAATAAGCTCAATTGGTACTAGACTCGTAACAGAAGGCGATATTGCCGTTTGAAACGTGTTCATTACGTGTCCATAGCCTTCACCTGATACCAACCAACAAAACTCATCACGTCGGTAGTATCATTTTGCTGCGTTACTCGATTAAGTGCGCTGGACACATTTTAAAAAAAATTATTCGGGAGCTAAAGGATTAAACATTAAAAAAACTCCCCTCGTACATACCCGGATATATAATCACACTAATGAATGAAACAGCCAATCAAATTTCGACAAGAATCTCAACATGACACTCAGGATTTCCCCTTAAGCATCGAACTAACCCCAAACGCAGCATTAAAATGATAACACATTTAACATTTGGCAAAATTATGTATAAAAAAGTTCCAAGAACAATTTCGTCAAGAGCTCAAAACAGTAACTTTTCTAAATTAAATAGCTGAACCAAAGCAAAACTTTCGGCTCAAAGCCGACCAGTTCAGTTCGCAGATGGGAAGTTAACGCATTTTGCTAATGAATCTGCAAAATAAAGATAATTATACAGATAAAACAGTCATCTTATAAAGTAAACGAATACACAAAGAATTAAAGTAAATTTAAACTAAATTAAATGAAGCCTACCGTATTCACATAGCATTATCCACTAGAAAGGCAAATATCAGTATAAAAAAGCATGTAACCCACACAAATCGATAATTAAACAAACAAGAAGCTAAAGGGATTTCAATGAGTGAAAGAAAAATCACCTGATGACAACAGCCTAGGGATTGCACCGCATTTTCCTGAAATCAAACAATACATATATGTATAAGTTTGATAAATTATGGAATTAAGTCCATTGCATAAAATTGGGTAAATACCACGGTTAGTTTTCGCTTTAAAGTCCTTCAGGAGCATTTGTCTGGCACCTAAAAGATAAATTTCAAATTATAGCATAGTTTTAAAATAAATACAGAAAATGTGAAACCGAAAATAATTACCATTTGGATATTCATTGCTTCTATTTTCACTGGCGGAATCTATTAGAATAAATAAAAGAAATAAAAAATTACAAATTCCTTATTAAATTCGCATAGTTATTATAATATTAGAAATTTGTGAGTTAAATATGCAATGGGTCTGATTAACGAATGGTATCGACACATCTGATGAAATTGACTTTGGTTATTTAAATGGGCAAATTTACGATGAGGATTCAATTCCGTTTACAAAATTTACTACACCAGTGTTATCTATGTAAAATGACGGTAGAGAATGCATTTAATCCTTTTCTATATGATTTACACCAAAACGGCGACGTTTTTTATTCTTTGCGTTAATTAATAATAAATTACTTTTCACTTCCAGGGAAAGGTAATGATTTTAGGAGGATTTCAAGAATTGAGCTGTTTGACAACAAATATTTCTTTACTGTCATTGTTTTTTATTTTGTACTAAGGGAATGAAATTAAAATTACCTCAAAAATTCCTCATCACTTGAATATGATTTTTAAGTAAATAAAATTGTCCATTTTTTGAACTAATAGGTCAAAGCAAAATTAAAATTACAGAAACGGGTTGTACGCCCCTTGAAAAGAGGACTTTTAATTTTTATTTGGCCGTTGAAGCGGTTTAAAATGGAGTAAAAAATAATTTTACAAAAACAAAACAAGTAATATTTACCACTCGAATAGTCCGAGATTTCAAAATCTTCAGCTTCATACTATAATGTAGAGAATGAAAATCAATGTGAAAGGAAAGGATTAATTTCGTAGAGATCACATAGCCAAGCATAGGTACTTCCTTATTATGAACCGACTCTTCACACCTAAACTTCTTACAGTAAAAAAATCGATAGGTTCAGCGCTGCTACCATTAGAGATTAATTTTGGTCTTAAATATTCAGAAACTATCACGTCCTTCTAAAGTACCAATCCACACTATCACTCTAACCGAAATGATTTTAATGTAATATTCACAAGGGAAATTCCTATTCTTGATCAATTCTTCAAAACTATCAGGTCATGTTCGTTCTTTAATTGAGCACTGTTATTTTTCTCCATCTTTGTCATTAACCCTTCTCATCTAAAAAATTGACCCACCCCATCTGGAGCAAAATAGGAGCATTACATTAAGAGCGAACAAAACATACACCCGAAGCGGAGTCAGTGGTGCTATACTGAAAGAGAAAAACAATAAATGAAAGTGAAATGAAATTAACAGGTCCAAGAAAGTCGATATTACCTCCTCTGGACTTAGATATACGCGTCGGGGTTGCATTTGACGGACAGAAGCCTTTGCGAGCTTCTTACTTTTTAATGTAGGGGAAATTCGGTCACCGTTTGGCACACGGATGTAATGTGTTCTAGCTCTCTCTGACATCTTAAACGCAGTCTTCTTCATGTATTCACTAACTTCGCGCACGATCTGTTCTGGGGGTTCCTTAGATAGTGGTGATGACTGGGTTTGGAGAAGATCCTAAGATAAGCATTTAGTCATTTGTAAAGAATTAAAGAACGGACAATAGGAAGGCGGGGGGGGGGGGGGTGGAGGTTTAATGGACCCATACTTTGTCATTTTTTCCAAGAGAAAACTGTGACACTTGGTCAAGCATTTCTTCGCAATTCTTTCTTTTTCTGCCTGATTTTGACCTATCCGGTTCCTTGAGTTAAAAGTCAATAAAAGATTGAGTCCAAGTTTTTTACTTCAAGAGCTCAAATACAACAACTCACAGAAGAATCCTTTGCTTCTCCTGAAGACCTCTTAGAAGAATCAGAACTTTTTGGCTTCGAAGAACCCTTTCTGTCATGTTCATCTTTCTTCTCCTCTTCTTTGTCGGGTTTTGGCTAGGAGATTAGAGAAAAAAGGAAATAGATGTACTTAAAAAAGGACTTAATCATGGAAACGTATCTTTTAGGTTAC